TGAAATCATTCAGCAAGCAATTCGTGTGCTTTCCCTAATTTTATCTTCGCAATCGTTCAACGTTCAACTCTTCCCAAACGAGGAGCTTTGTAAGAAATGTGCTGATATCCTGCACCAAAGCTTGAAGTCTGCAGATCACAGGGTTATCACTCAGGCAGCTTCTGCTGTGGTGCAATTTCTAAACATCAATCATTTTCCCTCATCGGTGTCGTTTGAAGCTGTTGTTCCTCTTGTGTCAACTGTGATCTCCCAAATGGAAAAATTCACAAAGCCAAGGATATATTTCCGAAATATTCCTAAAGGTAAGCCATTCTTTAATTCCGCATCCTTTTGAAAGAGTCAGCTCACACCCCTTCTAGGTTAAGTTTAGCCAACACCTGTAGAGCAGATTTAAGCTATGACCAAGGTCGCAGTGTTATGCTCTTAAGCGAGACAAGTTATTAAATATATTTCCACTTTTTCCGAAAATCGCTAAATGCCTGACCTTTTCTTGCACTTTAAATATTACTAAACAACTTTGAAAGCCGCTCCACCTAAACTTTTCTCGTCGTTTTTATTCAGCATAACAGAAATTTGTTTATCCATTAGGAGCATTTGGAGCACTTCTGGGTGCTTTGTTGGAGGTTATCAAGAAGGCTTTACTATTTGGTCAAGAGTTCCAGGTAAGGAAACCGTCGTACGCAGCTCTGTTGACAAGGAATGAATCAACGGTTTCATATGAGAATGAAATACTTGAGCAGTTTGTTGATTCGTTGTGGAAAGCTATCGATCAGACATGTGTACCGGCCTTGATGCTGAACTACGAATCTATCGAATGTCTTGCAGTGTTCAAAAGCTTTTTTGAGATTCTCTCTGTCTCAGTGTCTTCAGTGAATAGTTACAGACACGATTTTGCAAAGAAACTAGCGTTAGGTTCTTTTGTTCGACTCTCCCTAGAGATCAGAGAGAAGTTTTGTAGACGTCCAGATGGCAAAGAGCTCGGAGAAGTCACAGGGCGTTTCTTGACAGACCTGTGCCTTGCACTTGCCGATAGTTGCGACACCACCCAGCTAAAGGAAGTGCTTCAGACAAGCAATATTGCTGGTATCCATTCCGTAACCGCTTGCCTAAACATACTTACACAATGCCCAGTGAGACAGTCTGCCACGACTGAGATAAATGACGTCTCTCTCTTCAATTCACAATGTGCTTGCATCGAACTGATGTACGTGGCGTTTACTCATGGTGACATGATTGTCTCCCTCGAAAGCCTCGCAACAAGCTTGCACAAGTATATAATGCTTCTTTCCGACCTCAGCCTTATGCCTCGTGTCACTCTGAAACACTTACTGTATCTTTGGATTTCACCCTACAGCAGGCTGAGTAAACTGACACTGCCAACTGACGTCATGGAAAGCATGGACGTCGCTCAAAACATTCTGGAGCAGAATTTGGTGAATTTTACACCAAACGAATTTGAGTCAATTCACATTCAAAACATTCTCTTCCTTTCCTGGATATTTTCTCGTGAACCTCTAGCACACGCCTTTGGTCGACAGGCTTTGATTTGCTTTCTTAGAAGCGAAAAGACTCAGAACTGTCCCACTGACAAGGAACTCCAACAACTTTTGATTTCAAACGATCCGTGTTTTCGAGAATTTGTCTCACTGATTGATCATAACATGGAGGCCCTTGTTAGTCGAGTAGGGATCATTATAGAAGCATTGATGTCTGGAGATTCAAAGTCTATCCCAGCCAAGTTAAGTGCACCTCACTTAAAATCAACAGCAATCCAAATAACTAGCATATTCCTCAAGATTTTTTCAAGCCACAAGTCCCATCCTCTCGCACACCATTCTATTTCTACCATGCTGAATGTGATGACAACAGTACAGATGAAGGCCAACCTGGCATTTGACGTCAAACTTTTATATCGCGTCATCAACTTGTTGACTTCCTCAGACGGTGATCAAAGATTTGCAGTTTGTGCCATAAATTATCTGAATGTTTTGCTGGCTAGGGATACGAATAGAGAAAATTACCGGGTGGCTGCGGTGCTTCTATCCAACAAGCCTTTCTGTAGCTTTGTTGAACATATTTTGAATTCCAAACTGGTAAACACTGTCGAACTGCGAACGGACTTTGTCAAGGACGTCAATCTTCTCGCAAGCACTTTGGTTCTCATCGCATCCCTTGCAATCTCCCAGATGTTGTCTCAGGAAGGTGCTCAGCATGTGTTCAGTCTCGACAAAAAATGTATGATTAATCTTGTCAATGAAGGGCAAAGCATTTTGGGTCTTGCAAGTCTTGTCTTTTGGGATGTCTTCTTCAAAACTAGAAAGGAGTTAGTGAACCCCATTTTGGTATTGTCGAATGGTAACGACGCAAACGAACCTTCTCTTGAGAAACTATCTGATGAAGACCTCCATGTTCTGCTTGTTTATATACAGAACTCGTTAGTCCATGACAGTGAGACTGTAAGACAGTGCGCTGTTAAGTGCTTAACAAGCTTTCTCAGTTATGTCCCAAATACCTCGGACTTTGCATGCAATCCTTGGAACAGAATCGTTTTGGAGTCACAATTATGCTTACTCAGTGTTAATGTTCTAACACCGAGCTTGGTGCTGTTTTGTTTGCTGGTGTTGCAGTACGCACCGAGCAAGCCTTACTTAAACTATGTCCTTCAAGACGCAGTGGAATCCATTCTCCGCAAAATCCCTAGCGTTCTGTGTTCAGAGCAAGACCTGTCGTGGTACTGTGTCAATTTTCTGGCGCAGGTCTTGAGTAAGAAACACAAAGTCATGTCAGAAAACCAAAAAGCTGCTGTCTTATCCTGGCTGACAACTTTTAAGGAAACGCTGAGGGGAAACGAGGAACGAAGAAGCTTAGCCGAGTCCCTTAATACAGAAGCGGAACAGAGTGACGAAAGAGAAGTCAGATTTTTCAAGATAGACGCTGTAATTTTCCCCAAGACATCGCTTAAACCACCGGCTTGGTTGGATCATGAGCTGTTGGAAAAAGTCTTCTGTCTCCTCGATAGTAAAGGCAACGAAGACAGTAAACAACAGTAGCCTAAGCGAATCCCTTAGTACACAAGCGGTACAGAGTAACGAAAAGGAAATCAGAATTTACAACAGAGACGCTGTGATTTTCTACAAGACATTGCCTAAACCGCCTGATGTGGTGAATCATGAGGTGTTGGAATGCCTTCTGTCTCCTTTATAGTAAAGGCAACGAAAACGATGAGACAACAAATGAGTTTCTTGCGTGAATTTAAAAAGAGAATCTCCATAGCAAGAAAAGTGGATATTTAGCAGAAACTTTGACAAAACTAGGTGAGAGACGGGGTCTTTGTAGTTCTGAGAGAGCAGAAAAGTAGTCTGAAAATTGTCGTTACAGAAGTAGAAATTTTAGGGTTTTGTTATCTTTTATTACACTTAGGGCAAGTTTAGCCATGTTTACTAACCAATAGCAACAATCGTTTTTCCTTTAAGAGATACACATTTTTACAAACTTGATCCACGTTAAGAGGCTTTTAATCTGTTGGACATATGACTTCATGGAATCGTTCAGAATCGCTTGGGATTACGCGCAGGATTTAACCCAATTTAGATCTGCTCGCGTGATCATTTTTCAAACTATCTTTCGAGTATGCATTTAAAGGTATTCAAACGCCGCCCGAGATGGTTACATTACCAATTTGGTGCAAATTTCTTGTAGTGTGGTTCGGCAGGGCAAATTCAGCTTGCTCATTGCAGTAAGTGCCGCGAGAACAACATGTTTAGGGGCGGGTTAACAGCTTCTGCAGAAAAGTCACTGCAAGAAAACGGCATTAACAGTACTAGCCAGTAAATACGGCTGCCTCAAACTATTTCAGCCTCTTTGATAGATGAAAAGTACAGAAGTCGCACTTCAGTTGATATGATTGGCGAACAAAATCTTGCGTGCTTCTTTGAAAGTTGCATGTCCATTGAAGACCTATCTACACCCCTTAACGCGCCTGAACGTCACAATTTATGTGAGGGGAGGTCTTTTCAGCAAAGAGATGTTTCTTACCAGGGCAAAATTAAATTGTGTCGAAAGTAATCCAGGCTTGCATTGGTTTGGTTTACTTTGCTCTGTGAGTTTGGTCCGGGAACTCGCACCACTCTCCAGACCATTGATAAGAAAAACTAAAATCGATCACGACTTGGTCGCCCGCGTTTTCTCGCGCTTTAGGCGATTTGCTTGTTTTTACTTTGAGTTCTGATTGGCTCTTCAGGGTATTTTCCTGTCCTCCAATTGGCCCCTGTAATAACTTTGGTTTGGGTTTTATGACAGTCAATTGCAAAGCGCTCAGCTTTATAAACAACTCCTCAAAGTTTAACAATTGCAATCCGAGAATTGTACATTTTATGGATACGGATGTTACTTAATTGTCCTTGAGGTCAAACATATTACTTGTTAAAGGTGTTTTTTAGGTCACGTTTAAGTGTTCATTTGGGAAAAAACATATGCAAATTAATTTAGCATTTGAAAAACGGTTGTGATGGAGTAACAATTAAACAAGTACTGAATACCAGATTCCTTCTTGGGTGACTGTTTCATAAGTGTTAACATTTAGCCTGCACCTAAAGGCACCAAAAGGGCTCACTCTTCCACATGACAAATTATTTTTTGAACAAACTAATCACTTAGTAAGAGCAGTTCCCATTGTACTATCCACACTGATTCTTGGGCTGAGACAAGACAAATTCAATGGAGTACACAAATGCTGGGATAAAGACAAATCCTTTATTTATAAATAAAAGCCATTAAAACATTTGTTTGAACACAATAATTTAAAAAATAAAAAAAGACTCAGATTACAAGTATTTCAAGCCAGATGTTTGTCTGAAAATTAAAATAGAGTTATTGATTTATTTCATTCATAAAAATTAAAATAAAGATCTCTTTATGATTTAAAATTTTGAGTTTCAAAATTAAATAAAGTAAACACCAAGATCACTCTGTTTGTATTATTAGAGTTAATTGAAAAAACCTTGCAAGCGAAAGAAGGTCCACAAGCATCATTGGCTATTTTAGCCCAATAGATTACGTAGCACCAAAAATTGTAATGGGACTGGAAACTATAAATTCAATGTACAATCCATCTCTTTAGTAAAATAATTTCATTTCTGATCATATTCATTTTTAAAACACACTTAAAACTCCACATAGAATTGAATTTAAGCTCAACTTGCTTTAATTTCATGTAAATGTTAGTGTCACTCATTCTTTTTCTCTCCTGCTGGTACTGAATTCTGGTGGCTTCCTGAAGAGTCCTTTTCATGGAAAACTTTCAGCATCTCTTGTCGAACATGATCTGTTAACTCCCCAACATCATCGGCTGCAAGGCCATCAGTTGAAATGGGATCCAGCACTTTAATTTTAATGATTCCTACAAGATGGCACATGAAAAACTTAACTAATAAGTTTATGATTTAACCCTTTAACTCCCATGAGTGACCAAGACAGAATTTCTCCTTACAATATCATTACAATATCAAGCAGACGTGTGATGAGAATAAAGAAAAATATCAATCAGTGGATTATAAGTTGATACAATACCAAATTCTCAAAACTAACATCACAAGAACTGAATGACAGACAGTAAGGAGAATTAATAGTGAGATCTTGGGTGTTAAAGGGTTATAACTCCCAAACAATGTAGAGAAAATTATTATACATTAGGCTTTCTATGAAAACTCTGATTGGGCAAGAACATACAGTCAATATACAATAGTGTATGAAGTTGACATGATAACTCAATACCTGCAACAAATATTGGATTATCATGAAAAGTTCAAAGTCTGCCTAGTTTCCAAGCCCCTTGCCATTAGTGTGCTCAAACTTTTGCCAACTCAGAGAAAAGTGTCTTCTTTTGCATATTGGTTAAGAATATATAATCATTGCATTTTCTTATGGTGTGTTATGATATGTTAAAATTTGTTTGACAGTATGCCATATTTGGTTATTTGCTAAATTAAATATGCAGTGATTTTACTACTTATAGAATTGTCTCCAACATGGCATGTTGCATTTCTTCAGTTTTGGCAGATAACTCAGACCTCAGCATTGATAATTCATGACATCATGCCCAACCTTATCCAATAATTAGAGATGGCCAATGAGAAAAGGAAAAGTGATTAGCCCCTTCAAGATTGTTTTCTACATTTGTGGGTAATTGATTTTAAGGGTGGTACAATATGTGTAGATCAATCAAAGTGCCCTCCAAGGCAAACTAACACATTTAAGCAAGGTTGCTTTTGACACAAAAAAGTTTTTAATGAGTGCAGAACTGTGGGCCATGGCTGACTAAGGAAAATAAAAAAACATTCAGACAAGAGAGTGTGAGTGGAATAAGGCAGCAATCCTGCACTGAGGTGGAACCCTAGTCCATCCACCCATCCATTCTAGTAATCCCCTCATTATAAAATATTTCTGTCAAAATCAAAATTTACTATCATCTAAGGGGTGGGAAAGGAGGAGGTAACAACTTCTACCCGATACATTTGAGTATTCTCATTACCTGTATGCTGTATAATGTGTGGATTTATGGAGAAGTTACATGTTAATCACCTCTGAGAGTTAAATTTTTCTTAGTACTAAAATGAAAAAGCTACCTGAAACTTACCATGTTCAAATGCTTTGTTTTTCTTGTTGAAAATTGAAGAGTAGTCATAGATTACAATAGGAACAATAGGAAGCTAAAACAAAACACACATGATTGTTTCATTCTGAAGTTCCATAAAATGTTCCATTTAATTTTTACACTACTTTTACATATTAAGTATTATTAATAGATGAATATTTTAACTGTCTTTACGAATAATCAAGTTCACAAAGACTATTAATTATTTTCAATTCATAACTTTTGTCTAACGAAAAACACCAAACCATGAAGTTGGCCTGCATTTTTGTCCTGCCATTAATCCTCCATCTTGTGAGTTGTTTCAAGTCATCCCTCTGTGCATTATCCCTTTTCAACACTTTCCAAATTCACATGTGTTAATGGACATCAACTTGAGAGAATCCAGACAACCTACCTGTGCCTGAATGGCAAGATGGAAGGCACCTTTCTTAAATGGGAGAAATGTACCACTCTGGCTTCTTGTGCCCTCTGGAAAGATCCAAAGATTAATCTGCAAATTACATGAGAACATCTGAAATTTAATTTATTTAATATTTACTGCTAACATTTTAGCAAGTTACAAATAAAGTAATAACAGTGTAAAACCTGTGTCCTGTGAGCAGAAGACTTGGTCAACAGCTCAATCTACTGGCGGTTATGTGTATCTAATGTGTAAGGTTACATTATATTTCTAAGCTTAATAACCCCAGAAAGCTTTGGGAGAAATTTTCACCAAACAGCGAAAAATCCTCACAGGTGAACTAATTATAATTAAAAAAACTGCTGAAAAAGAAGCCAGAAAAATATCATGCTTCAACAGGGTTTGAGCCCCTGTCCACCAGACACCCACAGGGCCCTGTTATTAAGCCAAAAAGCTACCAGCTGGGAGCAAGGTAAATTTTAACAGCTTATTTGATCCAAAGTTTGTGCTGACAAGCACAAAGAAAATTGCTCATTAGCATTCCTCTAGGGGTCCTCAGAAAGATACCAAGATAGCTATAATTTGGATCTTTTTGGACCTCAAATTTCCCAGTTGATGTTTCACTGCTTCAAGGCTTGAAATAATCAGAAACAATTCTAAATACTTCTTCGATTGTTGTCTCGGCCGTTAGCATGACCATTGAAGTTTGAACCCAGCCCCCCTCTGTTGACCACCTATACGATCACCAGTTACCTTTTTATCACGCATCGTTTTTGCTGTTTTATCCATGACGTTTCTCGCACTCTTGGCGTTAGATCTATCAACAAATACGACTCCAAAAAGCCAGGCCGCAAATCCAAACAGAGGTGCATACAGTAGTTCCTTTTTCGCTAAGAACGTGGTTCTACGGGGTGTCGTCTGAAGCAACACAAAAACGTCAAGCGAACTTTGATGGTTGGCTACAATAATGAAATTCTTCTCTTTGAGAGTATCAAAGATCTCAAGTCCTTCAACTTGAGCGCGTATCGAGTAGGCTCTGACGAGGAAATTGTACAAGATGCCGGAGCAACGATGAAAGTTGTCTACATCAAATGGATGGCACAAACCAACAAAGGTCCAATGAATGGCGGATAACATGATCACAAAGTTGTAGCCAATATACTTTATACGGAAACGAAAACTTCGCGATTTTCTGTATAGAAGAATGAGTCCGAGTAAAAGAAACAGGAGACATAGCAACAAGAACCTAAACTGCCACATTTCTGCGTTGTTTACGACGGTCATTCGCTGTTCATGTGGTCAAGAAGTCGAGACACAACAATAATGTTTACGAGTTTCCCACAATGCAAAGGTTTGTTGAAATCCCAGAAATCCCAGCGTTCCTTCCAAGTATATAAACGGGAATTCTCTTTTACCAGTTCAGTTACAATCAGAAAGGCATTCACTCTAACGAGAACTCAATGGAGAAAAAATCTTCTTGTCACAGGCTTTTTATTTCGAGACTGACATCAACTTGACAATTATATCCAGGAAAATAAGACGAGAAAGACGATGCCTTTTTTCGACAATAACGATTTGTCGAAGTTCGTAATGCAGAGAGGGACATTTCGTGGGGAGGCGCAATTTTCGTCAAGAGATGAGTCGTTTAGTGATCTGATTGCCAAGCTTAAGCAAGATTACGAGTGTAAATGCAAAATTAGAATGTGAAATTGGAGATTTCGTCTGAAATTTTCCACGCGTTTCTCGGAAAATGAGAATCTTAGGTCGATGACGTCACAAGACGCCATTTTGAAGGTGAGCACGTTGACTTCTGGGAAGGATTTTTGGGTCTCTTCTCATCCGGGAAACTTGCTTCCTGTGACCTTCATTTTACCGGCGTAAGGAGGACAACGTGGTTTCGTACGCGATTGTCTTCTCTTTGCCAAAACGCCATTTTCAACCCTCGTTTGTCGCGTAATTGTGATGAGTAAAGACCTCTTGGACTACCCTTTCTGCCATGATGTCAACAAATACGAAAGGATGGTTAAAATTGGTCAAGGAACTTTTGGGTTTGTTGACTGCTTCAGTCCGCCATTTTGATAATTCGACTTTGTCGTTTATTTTAAGAATTGTTTTGCAGCGAGGTGTTCAAGGCACGCAACCGAAAGAATCTTAAAGAAATCGTTGCCCTCAAGAAGGTCCTCATGGACAACGAGAAAGAAGGGGTATATACCTATTATTGTTGTAAATGAGTGATTTGCTAAATGTAGTAGTTTCCGTGCTTGTTTTCTAGTCACTGAACTTTTGGTGTTTTTTGCACCACTGTTCAGTTCCCGATCACCGCCCTCAGAGAAATTAAGATACTTCAGTTGCTGAAACATGAAAACGTGGTCAACCTGTTGGAAATTTGTCGAACGAAAGGTGAGTTGAAGTTTTAGTTGTCCAGCAACTGGATGTTGAAATAACTCTGCAACCAGTATACTTTTTATGGACGTGACGGCGTAGTTAAAGTGTCGATGACGCTGCTAGTCTAATTTCAGGTGTATCTCTTCATTTTCAAAGAAACAGAACTATTTTTAACATCAGTAAACTATACTTTGTGTTGTTTGAGTGGTTATGTCATGTCTACTGCTCCTTCTTTACTTTACGCGGAAGTCATGTGGTTTAACAATATAAGAGAGACACTACTTCGAAGATTTGCAACTAATTGTCACTGAAAATATCTAAGAGTTAAATTATTTTAAATATTCATCTAGTATTTTACTCATTAATGAGGGCCAAACAGGACAATATTTTTCAGGGTAATCAATGTAAACAGATTTTCTAATTTTATGAAGAATCGTGGTTGTGATGTCAGGATAGTCAGTGCCTTGGAAGTAGTGCAGCTTATTTTTCAGAGGTTTTCTCCTTATCAAGAAGTATTTAAACTGTTTCTCATTCTGCAAGTTATATTTTGCATCCTCAACATATTCATCAATAAGTTGTGGAGTTCTTTTACTAAGATGTGACAGTCATTAAGCACTCGAGGGGAAAAATTAGTCATTTTCTAAGTGAAGAACCTAAAAAAATCATGAATGACTCCAAAGAAAGGGAAATTTCTCAAGGAGCCAGTTGTAATCAACAGTGAAATCAGCATACTCTTTTGGGACAGGAAAATGTAATAGATTCAGGTGCAGTGGCATGTGGTGTTGTGGGTGCTTTGTGTTTTCTAGACGACCATTCTCAGAACATTTCAGCACAAATTTTAGGTGATTCAAGATTTCTGTTGCTTGTAAAATGAAATTGCTTGAGGGATTTTCTCTAACATGCTGAAAGAGGTGTCCCACTGCATACTAATCTGTGCAATATATATTTCAAAATAATTTTTCTCTTCCAAATTGAGGTTATTTTTCTGAATGGAGACAAATTTGTAAGTTTTATTTTGTGTCCTTTACAACATGAATGGGATAATAGTGAGCATCAACTCTACTTTTAGATATGTCCCCTCTGTTGAAGTGTGCATTAACTCTTCTCATTTTCTTTTTCTTTTGTCTTCTAGCCTCTCCCTATAATCGCAATAAAGGAAGTATATACCTTGTGTTTGAGTTCTGTGAACATGACTTAGCTGGCCTTCTAAGCAACCATCAGATCAAGTTCTCTTTGTCAGAGATGAAAAAACTTACCCAGATGTTGCTAAATGCGCTGTACTTCATACACAGTAATAAAATCCTGCACCGAGATATGAAGGCTGCAAATGTTCTAATAACTAAGAATGGTGTGCTGAAGTTAGCAGACTTTGGTCTGGCACGTGCTATTCACCTGAACAAGGATCAGACCCAGCGTTACACCAATAGAGTTGTCACTCTTTGGTACAGACCGCCAGAGCTTTTGTTAGGAGAAAGAAACTATGGTCCTCCCATTGATCTGTGGGGAGCAGGTTGCATTATGGCAGAGCTATGGACACGAAACCCTATCATGCAAGGGAATACTGAACAAAATCAGTTAACCTTAATAAGTCACTTGTGTGGCTCCATTGCAGCTGATGTATGGCCAGGGGTAGAGAAACTGGATCTGTTTAGTAAAATGATCCTACCGGCAAATCAGAAAAGACGAGTGAAAGAAAGATTAAGAAACTATGTGAAGGATCCCCTTGCTCTTGATTTAATTGACAAGTTTTTGACCATAGATCCTGGCCAAAGAATTGATGCAGATACAGCTTTGAATCATGATTTCTTTTGGAGTGACCCATTGCCATCTGACCTGACACGTACATTAAGCTCGGTCAATACTTCAATGTTTGAGTTCTTGGCACCTCCACATCGTGGCAGAGGTCAAGTGCAACCACCAGCTGCTGGACAGTCTCGTGTGGGGGCTGCAAACCAGCTAAGTGTTACTAGCAGCACATTTGATAGGGTCTTTTAATTTTAGTTGCCTTTAATTTTCAATGAACACTTTGCATGCAGTGAAGTATATATTGTATTTATATGTGATGCAAACAATTAAACAATGCAAGTAAAGACTCGAAGACTCAAAAAAAAAAAAAAAGAAGAAAAACAAAAAAAAATTGCAAAAAGAAATAAAACAAAATAAAAAATAAAACAAAAAGAACTAACTTGTAAAAAGAAAAAAAGGATCAAAACTACGAAAATGAAGGTCACTCGCTTTAAGCTTGTTTCTTGCAATGCATTGCCACATGCAGTAAATTAGCATTGTTTACATACCCTGCAGTTTTTGTTTACTTTTTATGCATTAGTGTATTGTAGGTGTAATGAAAATATATGAAAACATTTGTGATTGAAAACAGGTGCTCTATTTTAAAGCATCTCAGACGTGAAATATTTCTTAGTTCTTGTGGATATGCTATACAAGAATTGGAAGTAACACCAAAAAATATTTAAAAAGCTATGCTGTGTAATCATGGCCTAAAAAAAAATTATCATACTTGGAAAATGCTCAAGGAAAGGGGAAGTCACAAACATGCTTACAGAAATGACTGTTCAATTTTCCCTGGCAGATTGGGTAATTTCAGTAGGGGTGGGTATACTTGAGGAGAATTGCAATTATCATCTCCATCACTGAATAGTCATCATTCAGTATTGGTAAACCTTATTTTTCTGATTTTTCCTTGGGAGAACCTATTATTGCCACTTTGAAATGTTTTATACACCAAGTTCATACTGTTTTTGTTTTGGTTTTTTTTCTTTTGCATTGTGCTTATGTTTAATATTATTAGATAAATTATGGAAGCATAGTGGTGTGAAGTTAAGATACTATGTTTCTGGAGTTTGAATGCAGACAGTTTACTTTTCATTTAGAAAAAGTTGAAGCCCCGTGTTGTATGTTACAATTAAAGCAGTTAAGGCAGTTAAAATTATCACAGAATGATTTTCCGTGTCAAATGCTGGTGTGCTGCCTGTGCTAGTATCATACTAAATAGTAATTTGAAAACAGTTTAAATAAACAAAGTACTGATAACAAAATTTGTAGGCCTTGTGTTATTTGTATGTAACCAGTTGTTCATCTAGGTCAGTCAGTAAGGAGACCCTTCCCACCTTGTGTGAAACTGTGGACTAGCAAGCCTAGATATTGGGACGAACTTCTAGAAGAGTGGCAACACTCTTGCTTCAGAATCAACAGAGGCTCCTGCAGACTGAGGGGCTGCTAAACTTGTGAGACTTACCGGTACTCAACTGGCTTTAGAGCTCGAAAGAACTCTAAAGGAGTACCACTGACATTTTAGTTACAGAAAATGATGAATGGAGTTGTGTTTCAAAGAAACAGCTAACCAGACACAAGAAAACTTCCACACAGGCATTGTTTACTTGTGTTTACTTGCTTTCCTCAATCTTTATTGGGATCAGTCATGACACAACTGACCAGTCAGAATCAAATGAAAGAGTCTTCAGTGCACTGAATCTTGCAGCATCAGGCCCTCACTGGTCCTTTTGCCATTAACACTCAGTTAAGAATCAAACAATATTGCAAGAAAGATCTCCTACAACAGTGCCATGTTCTGATGATAAGTAACAATTTCCCCTATAATTTCCAAAATTAAGAGAAGTGAGCCAATTTTCCTAATTTTCTTAGCGCTAAAAGGTTGCTCTTTGATCTGGGCTCAACTGTGCACAGTTACCTAAACCTGGCCCAAACAATAAAGATCATGACACATCCCCATAGAAAGAGGCCAAGCAGTCAAGCACATCATTATCATTTAAATGTACAAAGTTATCAGCATTTGATTTCTGGGAGGTTCTTGTAACTTCAGTAAAAAGTTCATCTTTTCTGGTGTCAGTAGTTTGTTTTGGGTCTGAAATCAAAAGTACAAACTTGTTAAGGTATGGGCTATCTGTACAAGAAAGGGTTAAAACTGCTAAGTTACTGAGTGAACTTGTAAGCATATGTAACCAAATGATACCATTCACAATTAAGGTAGATATGCACCAGCATATTCTTCTAAAATAACAAAGCAATGGGTTGGAACTCACAGAAAAGCCGTTTGGATGGATGTGATGAAATCACTAATTGCAAGTACCTGTTTTCTGAGATGTGCTGTCACTGAGGCTATGATTATGTAATACGTCCTTGAGGTTCTTGAAAAATCTGCAATGTTACGTAAAATGATGACCATTTTGCATACATCAGCATCAAAACAAGGAATACTATTAAATATAACTTCACTTCAATCAAAAGACACTCAGACAAACACCAAGCCACTTTCTTATCTCATAAAGTGATTACTGACCCTTTACACCCTAACATCAGTATGCACATTCTCCATACTATTCTCTTTACATTTCCTACAGTGCTGTCAAGGAGAATTTGCCTTACAATCAAGACTCACAGTTGATTATAGACCATTACTTCCCTTAATCTGGTGAAGTTGTTCAGGGGTGATATTTTAAGAAGAAATTAGATGCCAGTCAGCAGTCAAAGAGTTAATGAAATTGTTAATGCAAAATGTTCTAAAGAGTGCTTCTCATGTGTATAACATTTACAAGTTAATTGGCTGTGAGTGTTGGTATATTTCATTAGTTGTGAATGTGCTTGTAGTTGATGTATTTGTATCATTGTGTAATTTTACAAAATTAATTTAGGGTAGTATGTCATGTTTTTTGTGGAATCTGAAGGTCTGAGGTTTGATTCCTCATGGGGACTCCGAATTTTTTCTGTGTCCCATGCTCGTGACAAGACAAAAAACATCTTTCTCTATTTCTTTATCAGGCTCAAAATTTACCATCTCTCTTATTTCTATCTATAAATGTAGTCTTTTTGACCAATGTTTATATATCAGGTGTACCTGTCTATTCTTGTTTGATTATCTTCAAGTTTATTGTTTGCAATATCCACCAGGAACTCTACATACTCAATAATGAAAAAAGTCAAAATCAAGGGGTATAAAAATAATAATTGAATTGAATTCATAAACAAATCAAATAACTGTTGGTAGTTCCTCAAGGAAATATGATCTAGTGGTATTTCAACATGTGACTTAAACCTTAGTAAGGAAATTGCATCACATGCATGTACATCCCTTAGGAAGTGGAGAGAGGATTTCTTTTACCTAATCATGGTTCACTTCATGCAGAGATTCCATCCCATGATGTCATTTTCTGCATTTTGAGCCTATTGGCTCCTATTGCATTTTTGTTAATGGTGTTTCTTGCATACAGTGCATTATACAGTGCAAAATACAATGGACCCATAGAGCCAAAACAAAAAATAACAAAAGAAAAAGGAGCACACCAAAAGACCATTGGTGAAGCAGGGAAAACTTAATCTTCCTTTGCCAGAGAAAAATTTTAAAAAATTATTATAATATTGAGCAAAAATTGGAAGGTCCAAAATAAACTCTGGAAACAGGATTTTTTCAGCTAAAACAGGAGGCTTGAAACCTCTATTTCATGTAAAACCTCATTTACAATCCCTGTTTTTATCTAATTACACTAATATTGCACTACACCTATCTCTTTCCCCTAATCATTAAATTTCAAATTAAAGCGTAGATTTGTAGGGAAAGATTTTGCCAGATTACCTTATGTGACACCATTTGTTCTCCCAAGTGAACAAGTGGGACTTCTAAGCTCTGCGTACTTCTCACTGCCTGAAAAAAAATTAATAGATCAGCTAAATGTGATGAGCTGTGACTGGTTAAGATCCCATTAGTTGCCACATTTAATTATGCATATCACATACAGTGAGTAAAATAAAAAGTAACTGTAAAAGGGAAGCATAGACCAAAACAGGCCAAGGAAAAATATTCTGATATGGTGTTTACCAATTTTTTTACCCTTTACACACTAAAATTAGCATTTCATATTCTCTTCATGGTGATTTTTACAACATTTTCTATGGTACTGACACGGAGAATTTGTTTGATAGTCAGGGGCTTCTTAAATTGGTGATTGGTGCCTTTATTCTCATGACCTTTACATTTGATTTAAGGGTGATACTGTATGGAGAAATTAGAGGCTAGATTTTCTGAGGGTTAAAGGGTTAAGCTTATTTCTCAGTCAATATAGAGCTGTTAAATCTAATAATCCTGCCCTAAGAGCAAGCAAACAAGAATTTTAAGTTAGATATTAATTACTAAAAAAGATCAATCTTTTGAGTCTATTTCAAATCAGGGATTTACTTGACTAAGGTTACAACCTGTATGTTTTGATTAAATATCTTTCATTTGATGTCAAGTGCAGTCTGTGGAAAAGGCTTTTTTGTAATTTTTTGGTTTGGTAGAAGGCTATGTGAGCCAAGTGCAAAATGCAATACACAAGCCCTAATGTCTACCATTGCATTCACTAAATAAATCTGAAAATGCCTAAAAGTAATGCCTAATATACTCTTAAGATTTTTATTCATGTTATGAATATACATTAATTTTGCAGGTATTTTTTCTTTTCTTTTCTTGTCATTTGTAGAACATTTTCTGTGTTCAGGAAGAAATCTTTTGAACTTTTATTAAGTAGCATTAGAGAACCATCCAAAACTTAACTAAGAATGACACCCACCACAATCACATTGGCCTTCCTGCCAATGACAATTCCAGAATTCTTAAAGCCAGATATAAGTGCAGCTTTGAGCTAGATGGGAAATAAACAACACAATAAATAGTCTGTGATAATCATATAAATTGAGAGTTGTTTAAAAAAGTATCCGCTCACTTCTCTATCAAACATCACAGTTGTGTCCTTCCCCCTCAAGTCCCAACCTTAAGGAGGTTGACTTTGACTTTGAAAATACAGACATAATTTTTCTTTAACAGAAGTGTTTGATTAAGCTAAAAAATACTATAAGATAGGTAAATTTTGAAAATTTAAAGTTGAGTAGTATCAACCCTTAAACTCCCATTAGTGACCAAGAAAGAATTTCTCCTTACAGTATCTATACTCAGTAAACAAACATCATAAGAATTATACAGTATATAGGCATTAAGGAGAATTTTGGGACAGAGTGAAAGGGTTACGTAATATGCCATCCTGTCATAGCCAGGAATTCAGGGTGATAGAAGAAGTAAAGAATCCAGCAGGTCCATTGGAATGGGGAGTGCAGACTTCTAGACCATCCCATCCCCCTGGATCTGTCTCTGCCTTGCCCACACATTTTTCAATTAAGGGTTAGATATGTATGATTTCTGGAGTGCCTCAGGAGGACCATTTTATGCAGCTGATCAATAGTTTGATAGAGTATTTGTCATAAATCAATTCAATTACTTGCCATTTGTTGTCCACATTCAAGATTCCTGCACTGAACATGTAAAACAAATGGTTCAAACTTGAACACAGCACTTCCTTTACAGTCCTTCAAGGAATTGATCTAGTTTCAAAAGATAAAAATGTGGATAGAAACGAGTTCTTCGGAAAACTTTCTGTACAAAATGTCTACTTACCTCCTCATAGAGGAAAAGGAATGGAGAATTTTTTCCACTGATCACTGACTGTTACAGAAAGCTGAGCAGTTGTTTGAATAGGAAAATTGCCATGGGTCAAGGATGAACCAAAAAGTTTGCCTTGAATTTTGGTTTCTATCTTTCTGGAAGCCCAGGTTGTTGATCCTGTTATTATTAGTCTTTGACTGGCCCTGGTTGTGATGCAAATTTGGTTTTTTGCATTCTGGGTAATTAGGGGCAAGATACCTATCCTGCTGACAGCTTGCAAATTGAGTTCTTTGCTATAGAATTTAATTTCAAACCCCTAATCACCCCTTCTCCATGGGACATCTGATGTTTTTGGTTACAAGGCAACACCAAGAAACACATATGTACCGTTAATTCAGGCTAGGCATAATTATAAAAGGTAGTCCAAAGTTTTCTAAAGAAGCTCTTAATTGTCAACAAATTTCTCCTACTCGACACCTTAGGAAATGGAAAGCGAGTAGCATGGAGAACATGCATACCGATAACACTGACTGGTCAATACTTACAACTTCTTCTTTTATAGCTGCATCATGGGTAACATAGAGCCATTCGCATTGTTTTTTCTTCTGATCTGCCAGCTGCAAAATATGAGGTAGTTCTATTGCACGCACAAAAAAAATGTTGTAGGAGGTTTGAGAAAAAGAAAAAATGGGTAATCCTAAAGTTTTTTATTCTTTTTTAGGTTAACACATGTACGGTCAAACATGTTTTTGCAAACTGGCTAACCTCGGAGAAAATGGATATTCTTCCAGAACAAGAACTTGTCGTAAAAAAGTTTTCTTTAGCGTTAATGTATTGTACTAAGTCCTTGATTTGGTCATCTATGCTCCCCTTCTTACTAAGATCAACTTGCGACAGACATGCCACTTTTTGCTTCTCGAACGCCGCCATTTTAAAAATTATTTTTCCTGTCACGAGATGATTTCATACATGAAGGATATACCGCTTAAAGGAATACAGCTTATCATTGGTACTACTGGCTCTCTAACTACCTTCCCGCCATTTCCAGGCCTAGCACGAAAGAGTTAAGACTGTAAATTGCTGTGAATTTTATCGAAATTCTCCCGCTATTGCTTGAAAATTATGTTACGAAGAAAGCCTACCAGAATAGAACTAAGAGGAGAGGATGTGGAAGAATACGAAAAGGCAAAAAAGATGTGGACGAAGGAAACAGAGAAGAAGGAGGAAGACGATTCTAAGCTGGAAAGCTTACTCGACGATTCTCCTATGGCGTACAATGATCCAAAGAGAATTGCAAAAATTCACGAGAGAATTGGCTATAAGCCAGAGACTGTACCCAGCGATGGGACAGCGACTTTCAATTCGTAAAGCCTCCAAAGATGAGGTGGTAATGGCTTTCGATTGCGACTGACTTAAGTGGTGCTTCAGGTGTTATTACTGAATGCATGTTGCAAAGTCATCTAAATAATTGAGCATCGATTCAGTGGTGGAGGCTTAACTAATACTGGTAGGTTTAAAGAGAAAACTTACTATTCCATCAACTCTTATGGGAACAATGTGGAAAGGAACTTGAAACACGCTGAGCTTTTTGTTAACGGTGAAGTTAGTCATAAATTCATAGCTTGGTAATTATTACTCATACAACGTGACTGAGTACCACTGCTGCTGAGGTTGACTCCATACCTGCCAAATTTAGTGTTCTCCCTGAGAATCTCCTTTGCCTTTTTCGAGCATAATGCATGCAAGATTCTCAAAGCAAATGGGAGTGGAAAATGTCATTTAACTTCATGGAGTGAGAGCACAGACAGACTCTACTTAACAAAGATTGGTGTTTTAATTACTTTCAAACATTTTTGTCACTAGTAAATAACTGAGGCATGTTCATTTTAACAAATGTAAAGGAAGAATCCTTTAACCCAAGAATCAATGATTCAAAGAAATCAAGATTTTGGTTGAAACTTAAGATGAATGTAGGCACAATTTCTCCTGTCACTTCTTTCAGTGTGTAGAAAAGCAATCAGGAAAAAAAACCTTAGCTCTTCTGATATATATCTAATCATAGAATTGGTACAAGCTTTGGTTAGCATCACAAAGTGCTCAGAGGACATGATAAAAGCTGGAAAATTAGGAACCAAGATGTTTCATTGAGCTCTGACATGTAATATAAGGTCTGTTTAGGGGTAATTTCATTGGTCTACGTTGCATTTGTGCATAATTACTTTTTGTAATCAGAAGCTCATTAGTAATGTGTTCCTGACGTAATTTCAGGGATGATAAGTCCAAGCACATAGACAAACTTGCCGCTTTTATGTGAATCATGGTTTTCTCACAACCCTTTAACTCCCAAGATCTGATTGTTAATTCTCCCATCTAGCTGTTACACATTTCCAAGTAAATTAGTAACAGGAATTTGGTGTTATCAGTAGATAAAAATACCACCTTCTACTTGATAAGTTTGAGTATTCTCATTACCTGTCTCGTGGATAGTGTGAGGACAATATGGGGAGAAATTATATATTAATCACTTCTAAGAGTTAAAGGGTGAAATAAGCATGGAGACCTCCATCTTTTCTTTATTTCACAAGAACTGTAATCAAGAACAAAGACTTAAACAAATCATGTTCAGGACTTTCAATAACAAATTCCAGTATTGCTTGAAGTAGTAAGACATTGTAGAAACTTGCAATGTGCATGTATGAAATAAATGAAAAATGTTCAAACCTTCATTGCCAATCCATTAAGGTAAACTGTAGCTGAAAAATTGTGGCTAAATGTTGAAAACATTCTGACAGGCTTTTGTTGGTAGTTTTAGAGAGTCGTGTAAACTTGTATCCATTATGAAACTAAATGGTGTGACTTTTACTAAGGATGATATAACTTCAGGTTATAAAAACTAAAAAGTTTTGAACACTGGGATTACTTCTGAGATGTCAATTGTTGAAAAGGAAAGCTCAATTACACATGGAATGTAATACAGAACTTTAAGTTCCAGGTAGTAATTTGAACAATCTAGTGTTGAGAGTTTATCAAGTTTGTCTTGGTTTTGCTTTACTAGACTCTGATTGGTCTGGAAAACACTAGCTTTTTTGTCAACTACTCAGATAGGAGAAGATTTCCAATGAAGACTTGGCTCACATCAGATCCAAATTATTTACATGTGATTTGACTGGTAACAGGCTGGATGGAGTTTTCTGTATCTCAGTTGTAGAACATTGTAATATCAAATATCAGCAGAGTTTGGTTTTGATTCCTCCATGGGACTCGGAGTGTATCATCATTCGGCACTCATGAAAAGAGGAATAACATCTTTCAATATTTCAAGTGTTCATACTTCTTCTATGCATGACCAAAACAATCATTCACTCACAATACTAGTATTTTGGAAACCATTTATTCTCATTATTAATATTTATATTACTTTGCAATTTCAAATTATTTCATTCTCAAAGTTTGAACATAGCATCAAGAAGTGTCCTCTTATGTTTTTGTACAATGGACATGGAAAAATATATTATCAATATTGCAATAAAAATTTAGAAATATTATTCAAAAATAGTCAAAATTGTTGGCTATTTTTGCCATGTCACATTCAGGAGTCTAAATTTTTATCTTTCCCAATCTGGACCTCCACATTACTAATATATCCACTCAAATTTTTAATTTCTCTTCACAGTGTCACCCCTAAATGAAACATTAAGGTCACACAAATAAACAAAATGATCCCCAACTTAAGAAACTCCTGCTGATTGTTAAACAAATTCTCCTATACAATACCTTGGGAAATGTATAAAGCACAGTTTGGAGAATATGCTGATGTTGGTGTGTAAAAGGTTATGTCAAACTCCTTGTTTATAGTAGGATATTACCTGGCTCTGAACTTAATGTGCATAATTAGACTTTGGAAGACCTCATAGATGCAGTTTCATAGCCTGGCAGGAATTTTTTGGCTGGTCTGTGTCCTGGGTGACCAAACACCACTAAACACTCCCAAATTATTCAGGGCAATTCGAAAAATCTAATATTTTACTCAATCTTCGGTGTTAAAGGGTAAGTACACCTGTTAAATTCCACAGTTAGAAAACTATAACCCTGGTAACATGATAGCATGTTTCGCATTCAGTAAAACAGGAGAAACCCCGCCGCTATTAAATCTGCATCTACTGGATTTGTTCTTCAGAGAAGACCGCCACTTTTGAATACATTAGTAATGAAGTGGAAGTGTATTTTGCCATTCAGATTGTATGAAGTTGTTGTTTAACTGTAGAAAGAAGCAAATACCACAATAATTGAGGAATTAGTTGATATTATAATCTTAATGTCACTTGTTAACATCGTTGGTTGCGATCCTTTCATCCAAGATGACGTTACCGTCTGAGATGACGTACAATTAGTTCTTATGCTGACACGCACAGTTATCAGCTCTCTACATGCAATCCAAACAGACGACTTCTTCTACCAACGGTTTGTTGGAAATCACTAAAGACTTCCTTGAAACTGAACTGGCTGTTTTGCTGTACATGTATTTCAGATTTAGATCAGGGCCACACTGCAAATTTACCACAGTCACACAACACAAGATCACGAGTTAGACAACAGCCTTAATTATAATTTTTCTCCCTTTTTCACCAGAAACCTTTGTGGTCGAAGCGCTAGTACGAAAGCAATCAGTCCTTTCAAGTTAAACTTCAGATTTTGCCCTTCGCCGTGCTCCATGTAGTATTTTCTTGCTTTTGTGTGTACAAGGAGGTTCGCAGTTTTTCTCACCGTTAGTCGAATGGTTTTCCTTGAAAGACCCGTCCTTGTTTTGTTGACTCTTGATTGGTAACTCCAAACTCTTGGTCTCATAGGCAAGATTTAAAAGTTTTGCAGATAGCAGCGACTGTAGGCTACACTTTCTCCTGAAAGCCCATTCTTTGTCAAACACGAACTCGTTGTCCAAATTCCTCGACAATACTGGATTTCCACGTTTGAGTTTCTTATCTGCATTTTCCATATTCGCGCCTTCAGATTCATCGCCAGAACTCTCGTTATCCGGTAAATAGTCTTGATCACTGACCTCTCGACTGACTTGCATTTTAACGTTCAAATTTTTTGGTCCGTCAGGCAGAGAATTATTTTAAGTGGTACGTGCTGGAATGAACTGGGGTTTCGGAGCAGCATTCGGATAAAAAAGCTCTTACGTGAAACAAAACAAAAGATTAAGTGATACTGAGTTATAAAAGATGCGCTGTCGATGTTCTGTGAAATTAGCATAACAACAGTGTTCTTTCATCACGGTTATTACCTGAGAAGCCCTTGAATTTTCCAGAAAGTAAACAAAGACGGGTCCCCGCAATTACAAGAAAATATCAAATTGTAACGTTTCAATATCTCCTATGGGTTTTCCAAGCAAGTTTAGTTTTTCGTAATCAGTGTCTTTGAGCCGAACTGCTATGCACTGCTCTTTGCTGCCGCATCAATCTCTTTTCTGTTGGAAGAAAAGCGCCTCGAGTATGAGCTTTTCGTTTCATTTGAAATGAGAAACAAGAATTCCAAAATAAGCATCGGTTATTGTAAATATGGAGCCTTGTATAATATCAAATTCGTCGATCACAATCATATTCAATTTTCTCTATCTTTGGGAATCTTTCCCAGCTCTTGGTTCTTCGTTTCCTCATCTGTCTCTCTCTAGTAATATTTAGTAGTCAGTTCAAAGTTAACATGACTTAGGCAACAGTCGTGGCAATTTAAAGTTATTGCTTAAAATATCAAGAGTCTGCTTTTGACGAACCTTTAGGCTACAAAACTCGTGTGATGGACTAAGTGCCGCCAATCGCCGCCAAAATACTCTATGCATTTATCAAGCAGGCATAAACTCTGTCAAAAATATAATTTTTACGGCAGTAAACATATAATACAAATGAACAGGAGTTCAAGGGAGAAAAATAGTTGACCTTAGGGTAAACTGACAGGTTTTAATTTTCTTCTTTATTTATTTTTTTCCTTTCCTAAAAGAATGCAAGGAACAAACAAAGCTAAGGAGGCCCTTGAACAACTGTCCAGCAGAAATTCAAAGTGTACCCATATTCGCCCTTTTTTGTGATCATCATAAAAACTAGGTTTTTTTTTTTTTTTAAAAGATGATAACCACATGCAGTATTTCAAGTGTTAAAAATTTTAAATAGTCGCGACTATTTTCGCGAAACTACGTCATGGAGCTCTTTTTAGACCACAGGAACAATGCATGTGCCCTCTTGAAAACCTCTCATATTTTCAAAAAGTTCTTGTAGTTCTTCAAAGTAATTAATATTACGCTATCTCCTACAAAAAAGCCAAAATTTGTGCAAGTTTCCCTTTGCACAAATCACGTGTGTGTGATCAATAACTTTAAAACAACTCTCAGTCACAAGATTTCGAATTTAATGATTTCCGCCCCTCCCTCGATAGCCAATTATTCCTAATAAATGCTTCTTTTTCATCTGTGGAAAGTGTACAGGTCTCGAACGGTAAATAAGCATACGTTTAAATTGGACTTATTCCTCCAAGTATTTGCGGTCAAGACTCAGTTTTCAGGCAGTCGACCTAACTCAGAACACACATCCTGATTAATACAGATAACAGACAAAGAAATACTTTTGATCGTAAGCGACGACAAAACCTATTTAAAAATCTATTTAATTTCAAGCATCATTCAATCATATGACGTCAACTGCGGCATATTTCACTTACGATGAGTCTCATTTTGTACTTAGAAAGCCCCGAGCTGTAGATTCCGAGTTATTTTTCAATTTCCCTCTTTCCTTAATTATCCAAACTTGTTTTCGCATAAGTATCCTCCGAAAAAAGGGTCATTAACAGATGTCAAGGCTATCAGGAACGGAAAGCGTGACAGATTATTATCAACTGCACTAAATATAGACTGCGGCCCAAAATTACGCGCGCCTGTTTTTCAAGACACATTGAGTAGGGAACAAAATACGCGCGAATCTAGGACAAATATATCGCGATGTCGTGCGGTTACTTGGACAGTTGGTAACAGTATTTGAACTGTAAGAAAACGCGTGAGTGAGTTGTTTCAACATGTTCAAAGGATGAAAAAAAAAATGGACGACAGTTATCAGCCGTTGAATAAATAAAAAACTTATTAGACGTTTTGGTGTGTCGTATACTGCTGATTGCAGTATTATCTATATATAGTCCAAAAAGAACTTAAAAGTTGCTTTGTCTCTGTGCTGTATCAGCAGTGTATATCAATGATTTCTTGATAACTGATATAAGTTACTCTACATAAATATGTACCAGTGAGAGCAGTCATCTCTGTAGGAAAAAAAGTCATCCTCCCAAAACCGCGATAAAGCACTCTTATCCTTCCATAATTAATCTTGTAGAATAACCTTGCCAACCACAACTCTGCGTCACAGGACAGTTCCTGACTTGGACTCATGTCTACATTATTCTTGATCCTTAAATCACGTGTTGAGTAAATTAACACCATCATATACCTCGCACGCAGTTTATTTTCTATTAAAACCTTCATTGCAACTTGGGCGATTGGTTGGTGCCAATGATTTCCTAGTCTACTGATTTGGTTGAGCAGCGTAAAAATTTTTAAACATCCCCTCTTACATGTAAACATGTCATTCTTTAAGTTGGCACCACATCAGTCACACGCATGGCGGGCATATCATCACTTGCCTTACCAGGCCGTCAAAGAGCCAAACAGCTTTATCTTTGAATAGTCTTCGTTTTGTCGTCCAATCTCATGAGAAATTTGGAGTATATAAGCGACGAAAGGCTACATCTTCTCTTAAGAGCCCATTCAGAGTCAAAAACACATTCGTTCTCTTCTGTAGAGTGTGAAAGAGTGGTATATCTATATCCCAATAGCCGTTGATGGTGGTCATTGAAACGGCTGACTGAGCGCATTCCGCAGTCAGATTCGTCATCTGCGAAACATTCTTCGTAAGATGAGTTACCCCGACGATTATCCATTCTCAAAGCGATATTTCCAAATCTCTGTTTCCTTTCCTCATGCGAGGCTTTAGCTTCTCCTCACACGGTAGCAATCATTAAAGTCCAAATGTCAAACTGTGAGTCACATGTGAATGAATAGCAGCAAAAATATTCACAAATTACATACGAGTGTATCCTGGGCGTAACTACAAGAGGGATTGATTAGTTGTCTATGTAGGCTCATTAATTGACGGGCGCTTTGTTTGGCTTTGCTCATATGCCAGAAATTGCCAGATGGAAGGAAACTGCGGTTTTCTCGAATAAAATTTTGACACATTACCAATACAGATAGAATCCAAAAAAAATTTGAGACATTTTTGTGAAACGTGCGAATATCGATATATTCTTAAAGGACTTGTGAAACAATGATGATGGACCAAAGCCATGATGAATAAAAGTAGGGATCGAGTAAAGCAAAGAACCTGATAAATCAGGTTTAGTGACTAAATCAAGACGTCTAGTTCATAATAACCCGTTCTTCTTCTGTACTAAAAACTGATACACAGAATTGATATGTTAACATACAGTGTTCTGCAAAGCACAGCGGGCAATCGCTCATAAGCGGTTGACCTTGAAAGTTCTTTTCGTGACCTTCTCATTCGTAACCTCACGTTTTCATTCGAGAAAATACGAGAAGTCCTCTGTGCGCTGTAAGAACACGTATTTTGTACAAGCTTATTGGCTCCTCGAGTGTCACTGGTAAAGCCCAAAATTTTGATTTTAAAAGGTATACCCGTCCACTAATTTTCAACCATGTAGGTTTGATGATTACACTCAGGCAGAGGCTACTTCCAAATTTGTAGCATTTTAAAAGATAAAAGGACGTAGTAAAGCCGTTTTGCAAAAATGGCTTAGTGTTGAAGTATTTTCTTTGTCGTGTCACGAGCGTGAGATATAGAAAAAGTTCTTAGCATCTTAAAAAGGCGCATCATTAAAAAAGGTGACCCATGAGGAATCGAACCTGAGACTTTCGGAGTTCGCGTTCTGATGATCTTCCACTTCAATGACGGTGCACAGTTTCCAGGGCGAGTAATTCCATTACTAGTTTCTTACTCCGGTTACTCATTGTTATATCTCAGTTCTAATCACTCAAATCTTCTTTGTCATCAAGGTTTTTCTCACAAATGTAGTGACCTAGGTCTTCAGGAGACAAATTTTGCTGAAAATGTTTTTAAATTATCGTCACCCTCTGCTCCATCGCTCCCTTCCTCCGCTCGAGGTTGGGGGAGGGGAAAGGCTGAGCACTATCCCTTTCCTCAGAAAGGAAACTGAGGGGAGGGAGTGAAAAAACAATTGTTTATGGTGGGTTGACGGCCCCGTCGGATCCTGGACAGAACCTAAGTTGAACTCTGAGATAATGAGACTCATACGTACAATTTGTCTACTTCGCAGTCGTCTTTTGAGTGCCACGCAACGGTGCCCCGCGGGAGGAGTAGCGTTGCGTGACATCCTGAAAAACGGCTCCAAAGTAAGACTAATGCTCCGTTAATTCAGTCTGTTATCATTCTTTTTTAAAATTTAAAGAACTTTGTGATTTTTCTCTTTCACACGACGTTGGAAATTTTGACGATTGATTTACTTATATATTATTATTATGGCATACCGGCTTAGCTTTCCTAAGTGTCATGAAAACATCCTGGCGGTCTAAACAAGCTGAGTCACGTACTCGGTTACGTAATACTTACCAGAAGTAAAGTTTGTTGTCAGATTAAGCGCCTACATTTCCGATTGAATATGTTCATAGAGGAAGGCACTTCTAAAGTTCCAATTGTCCGTTTTAGCAAGGCGTTTTCACCCAGAGATTTGAGTGAGGTTCTTTTTATAGACGACATCGGAGACAAAAGTGGAAAAATTTTGATTCATCTGATCTTCAAGTTGCATTTGCAAACTATCGGATGTCATTCGTAACTTATCGAATGTCTTTAAGCGTGTCAGTGTTTGAAACGTGATACCTAAGTACCTTTTGAAATCTTCACTGGCGAATGTCCTGGGAACTAATAATATTGGGTCATGTGACAGTCTTTCTTTGAGCCGATCGATTCTCATCACGAATAATGAATTTTGATGTTGTCTGATGCTGGATTGGGTGACAACAACTACGACTATTCGTTGGGTTGACTAACCATCATTTGACGTACTATTGGTAAGAGACTTTTATTCGTGATTTGTGTCGCCAGATTCTGTCATGCTTGCCGGTGTAGAGTTACAGACCTAACCCTAATTTTCAAACGGGACGGTGTGTTGGTAGAGCATATCATATACAACTGAGCTAAATCCTCTCATGTAAAATGGTTCTTTTTGGACTCATTCACGCCTTTTGCGGTTGTTTTCTACTCACACACCTTATGATTCATAAAATCGAGACTTCGAACCGAAAAATTCGAAACTACAAAGCTAATTTCAACGTTTTAAGTTATTTGAATATACTAAAGGCTGTTTTATTATAATCCACCATGAGATATATCAATTTACATTTTTAAGAAGAAGCTGTTCCTTCGCTACGACCAAGAATACACAAGAATGCATACAGATTATCCTGTTAAAGTCAATACTAAATTTGGACCGAAACTAGCTTTTAAATATTGGAGACACTTTTTTCCTTTAATAGAACTATAAACGATTGGATTTTTGTCTTACAAAAGCTCAGACGGAAGTCAAACATGTTAGTTTGGACGTTAGATCTTGAAAAGAAGCGTTTCTCAAAATTAATATTCGGCTTAACTCACTTCCGGTAAGACGTTCGAGAGCGCGAGACTTCCGTAATTTGACGTCAGCGGAGAACCTTCGTAAACAATGCGTGAAGTGACGTGGCGGAATCATTCGCTACAGTGAGTTCGATGTGAGAAGTTGATTAGCATATATGTTAAAAAGTTTACTTCATCGAGAACTTTGTTAGACTTACGAAACTTTATTCCACGTTGTTGCACTGTTGACTTGGTGTCTCCCTTTATCCATCGGTGATCTCTGGCTTCGTCCTATCCGGAGGAAGTCCCAGAACTCCGCCATGGATGAGGGGGCTTCATCAGTGCTATAAGTTCTAGCTTGAGCATCGTGAATTCGTTCTACACGTTCTTCGCGTTAGTAGCTTCTACCTCGATAGGATTTTTGAGGTCAGCCTATAACATGGCACAGATTCCAGGCATTTTTAATGCCGCTCGATATTTTGGTAAGTTCTTCTTTTAACGCTTGCAATGCGCTTTAATCCAACTATCTCGATGTAACCTGTTCCACCGGCTTCTAGATTTCGACCAGCAAAAGACAGCCTCGAACTCGATGTTATGGATGTCACGAAGGTTAACATAGATATTGGGAGGGTGGGACAATAATGTTCTCCAAAATATTTTCTGGAGTGTTTTTTTTTTCAATCGCATGTTTTTTATTTTATTTGAAAAGTTCGTGAAGGTAGATTTGTTACACTATTTAGACACAATTTACTTCCGGTTGAACGATATAAGCTGATTTTGATACTGTGAAGCACAAACATTTTGAATCGAATATAAATTTCTATGTACGGATTGAACGAAATCAGGTGTGAATAGTTTTGGCTGTGATAGATTTGTTTTAAATTTAATTTAGTTAATCAAAGGTACGGTTGAACTTCTTGTAGTAAAAATATTAAGTAGCCCACGCAAGCAGTTATTCTATTCAGATGGCATGTGGGAAAAGCAAGATATGTATATCATTTCTTGTACACAGGCATGTGTGGTGAACATTGTCCACTTTCTGTATTGTGCAATAAAATGTGTTTCAATTTAATCATGCAAAATCACTGTCACAGGGAAAGAGCATTTAGATTTGAAATACAACAAATATATTTACCTGGTATATAACTTGCTTGAGGCTTCAGTACACTTATTTTTTTATTATGTTATAACAGTCTGGTATTTGTAGAAAAAAGTCACCACTGAATAGTTATGCATTATGGATAGATGTAGGTATTGTCACAGTGTTCTACATATCATTAACTTTCATTATTTTAATTTAAGGTGGTTCTAGCCCTAATAAAGGCCAGCAAGATTCATTTTGGAACCACCAATCAAGCAGGTATGTTGTGTTTATTCCTAAACTCTAACTCCTAAGATCTGATTATTAATTCTCCCCTCTCATTGCGACCATTTCCTCATGAGTTAGTTTCAAGAATTTGGTGTTAGATCAAGATAACAACTTCTACCTGATAAGTTTGGGTATTCTCATTGCCTGTTTTCTGGACAGTGTATGGGTGTTATGGGGAGAAGTTACATTTCAATCACTTCTTGGAGTTAAAAGGTTAACTATACATTTCCTAAGGTGCGGATAAGGAGAATTTGTTTGACAATCAAGAGCTTCTTTGGTTGGTGATCATTTCCCTTATTCTCATGACCTTAATGTTTGTTCTGGGGTGATGGCATAAGGAGACATAAGATGCTAGTCACTCTCAGAGGTTAATCTGCTTTTAGAACTTCCATTCAGTTTATGTCAGGAAGCTGATGCAATGAAAAAGATTCCCTCAAGAGGAACACCATTCTCTTAACCCCTTCCATCTCTGTACCAAAGGAAATATTTAGAGAACAGTATGGAGAATGTGATAAAAGTGTATATATATATATGTGTGTGTGTGTGCGTGAAGGTTAATTGTCCATGTTTCAGAGACCTGGGTTATTTCTAGAGATTTTCCAATTCAGATTCAGAAAGATACTTTATCTTGCACTAAATTATTTTGAGAATGATTTGACATAGGGAGGTCTTTAATAACAACCATTTTTTTACTGTTTATTTTTCAGTGAAAATAATTTCTCAGGATCAGAAGCTCTGCAAAACTCTTTCGAAGTAGCAACATCTCCAACACAGAGCGTGGATCCTTTTATGAGTTGTACTCAGGTAAAAATTTTGATAGGGACAAAAATATTTATTTTTCATCACTTAAACCTAATTAACACAGAGAGGGTAGAGAAAAGGGGGCGAAAAGGAGTCTTTGTACATTAAAACATAACGCAATATACCCCCATACTTGTTATTAGAATAGACAATTTGACTTGCAATTGTTTTAATTTCAATGCGGAGACAGCTTAAAGTGAAAGAGGGCAAACTTTTTCCTCCTCCCTATGGGAACCTTATTGAGCACAGCTTGAAATCTTGACCAGAAAAAATCTGGTGATGAATTCTTTTTTTGAAGTATTGAGGTATAAAAGCAAACACCATATATTGTAAAGGCAAACTAATGGGCATATTGTTTTCAATTTGGTGAAAAATATTGCCACTTGGCAGGCTGGAGATGGGTTATGTATATAGTAGGAGACAATTCAAACATTTTTCTCTAGAGCTATTGGCCAACCAGTCTAATAAACCATTCTTTAATACCTGCCCAGCAGTAATTGTACTTTTTTTTTCCATAGAATGAATTTGATGGTTGGGATGAGTGGCCGGCTGAATTAGACGAATTGCTTGGCAATACTACTACTCATCATTATGAGTCGGTAAGAACACTTTCCCTGCAATTTGGTTAGGTTAAAAATGAGAGTAGTGTTCTATAGGCTTTTTTAGCTTTTCTAGTAACAGATTAAATATGATCAACTTTTGTTTGTAGGAAAGTGTGGATGGTTTTACTGATTCCGAACTTGTGGTTCCACCACATGATGACAACGAGTTGACAGGGAGTACAACTTCATCCTCACAATCATCTCCAGCCATAATGGATACTAATCATGATCAAAGTACTTGGGTTGAGGAGGAAACCTCCCCCTACAGTTACCCAAAAGTTGCAAATATGGTTAATCAGTCTATGACACCACAAATGGATTCTCAGCAGAGATCATTTTCTGGGGCTGACTTTTTTGATTCTTTTCAACCTGATGCAGTGGTGCAGGTTAGTTATACATCCACTCTTTGACCTCTAAAAGTGACTAGCATCTAATTTGTTCCTTTTCACCCCTGAATCACACTTTAAGGTAACAATATTGAAGGAAATGATCCTCAACTAAGGAGAGGCTCTTGATTAGTAAACAAATTCTCCTTGTCAGCATCTAGGAAGTGTTGAGAGAATGATGAATGCATAAATAGGACACTGCATTTTTAAAACTATTTCCTGACTTCTATAGGATTTGTTTTATTTAACCAGAAGAGTTGTTCATTAATTAGGTCATATAATTATCTTTGGATCTTTGAAGTTCACAAAGTATGTAATGTGACTTTTTTTTCCTTTTCTTTTTTTTTTTTTTTTTACACAGGAAAGTGTTTCTGAACATGCCCAATTTGTTGATCCTGAAAGCAATCAAGAAGAAATCACGGAGGGCAATAATTTGGCCATCACAGAATCACCTGCACCAAAGATGGATTATGCATGGGTTGAGGAACAAAACAGCCCATATGCATACTCGGAATACCCTCAGTCTGCAGTGCCACAGACTGCATCGCAGCAAAATTCTGCAATTGACTGGTTCAACCAGTTCTCAAATGATCCAACTGACAGTTCTCAGCCTGATGGGGGCATGCAGGTAAATTACTAGCAAACAACTTTTTTATGCAGATAGGGGATGGGAAGAAAGAAAAAAATCAGCAGTGGTGTTTTGTGTGATTTAACACCAAATTGTCAGATCTAAATTTGTAAGAAATGTTTGGCAGACAGTGCAGAAAATTGATAAATTCATTAAGGATTGTACTTTTTCAATGCCCAGTGTGTCCCTATAAAAAGTATTTATTGGTGTCTTTTTTTATGGGACGTTTTTAGATGGCCTTCTATCACCAAGATAGTTCCTCCAATGCTCCTCCTATGATGCATCAAACAACAGACATGCAAGAGTCTCAAGCTCAGCAATACAACAGTGAGTCTTACCCACAGGGTTGGAGCCAAGAACCTGAATCAAACAGCTGGTTCAACCGAGAAGGTGATCATGAACTCTTTATTTTTTACAATAAAAGTTTGGAATACATAGTTTGATCCTTTAACTGCCAGAAGTGATTAACAAGTAATTTCTCACTATAACATCCATAAATTTTCAGTAGAACAGGTAATGAGAATACTCATACTTATCAGATAGCTGCTATCTTGATTTAACACCAAATTCTTGTTACAAATTTACAAGGAAAAGTGTAGCTGCCAGAGGGGAGAATTAATAATAATAAATATACAGATTGTTGTTAATGAATTCCTGTTACTGACATAAACTGTGTATCAACTGCAGATGACATTCTTGCCCAAGCATCTTTGCAAAATCTTGGAGAGCCTCAAGACATGGGAGATGCCATGTTTGCTCCAGATAGAGGTGTTGAGAACAATGGTGTTTTCCCACCTGCTTCATCAATGGATACTCCCTCTGAATTACCTAAGCTAAACCAGGACTTTGAGAAACTGGAAACCCAACTGCAGCCTTCAGGCCAGGCTCCTGTGAAGGAACTTCCCCTTGGAGTTCAAGAACCAAGTGCAGCTGTTGAACAAATTCAGCAAGGTCCACCAATGGAGCATGCTCTCCCAGTGCAGCAAGCTCCTCCATTGCAGCAAGGTCCATCAATGCACCATGGTCCACAAGTGCAGGAAGGTCCATTAATGCAGGAAGATCCATCAATGCAGGAAGGTCCACCAATGCAGGAAGGTTCACCAATGCAGGAAGGTCCACCAATACACCACACTCCACCAGAGCAGCAAGCTACACCAGGGCAGCAAGGTCCATCCATGCAGAAAGCTCCTTTAATGCAGCAAGCTCCACCAGTGCATCAAGCTCCACCAATGCAGCAAGGTCCGCCAATGCAGGAAGGTCCATCAATGCACCATGGTCCACCAATGCAGCACAGTCCATTAATGCTCCATGGTCCACCAATGCAGGAAGGGCCACCAATGCACCAGGCTCCACCAGCGCAGCAAGCTACACCAGGGCAGCAAGATCCATTAATGCAGCAAGCTCCATCAATGCAGCAAACTTTTGTAATGCAGCAAGGTCCGCCAATGCAGCAAGGTCCGCCAATGCAGCAAGGTATGCCAATGCAACAAGGTACACCAATGCAGGAAGGTCCATCAATGCACCATGGTCCACCAATGCAGCACAGTCCATTCATGCACCATGGTCCACCAATGCAGGAAGGGCCACCAATGCGCCAGGCTTCACCAGTGCAGCAAGCTACACCAGGGCAGCAAAATCCATTAATGCACCAAGCTCCACCAATGCAGCAAGGTATGCCAGTGCAGCAAGGTACACCAATGCAGGAAGGTCCATCAATGCACCATGGTCCACCAATGCAGCACAGTCCATTCATGCACCATGGTCCACCAATGCAGGAAGGGCCACCAATGCGCCAGGCTTCACCAGTGCAGCAAGCTACACCAGGGCAGCAAAATCCATTAATGCACCAAGCTCCACCAATGCAGCAAGGTCCGCCAATGCAGCAAGGTATGCCAATGCAACAAGGTACACCAATGCAGGAAGGTCCATCAATGCACCATGGTCCACCAATGCAGCACAGTCCATTCATGCACCATGGTCCACCAATGCAGGAAGGGCCACCAATGCGCCAGGCTTCACCAGTGCAGCAAGCTACACCAGGGCAGCAAAATCCATTAATGCACCAAGCTCCACCAATGCAGCAAGGTCCGCCAATGCAGCAAGGTATGCCAATGCAGCAAGGTACACCAATGCAGGAAGGTCCATCAATGCACCATGGTCCACCAATGCAGCACAGTCCATTCATGCACCATGGTCCACCAATGCAGGAAGGGCCACCAATGCGCCAGGCTTCACCAGTGCAGCAAGCTACACCAGGGCAGCAAAATCCATTAATGCACCAAGCTCCACCAATGCAGCAAGGTCCGCCAATGCAGCAAAGTCCACTGATGCACCATGGTCCACCAATGCACCAGGCTCCACCAGTACAGCAAGCTACACCAAGGCAGCAAGGTCCATCAATACAGCAAGCTCCTTTAATGAAGCAAGCTCCCACAATGTGGCAAGGTCCACCGATGCAGCTTGCCCCACCAATGCAGCAAGCTCCACCAATGCACCAAGCTCCACTGATGCCGGAAGCTCTACCGATGCAGCAAGCTCAACCAGTGCAGCAAGCTCCACCAGTGCAGCAAGCTCCACCAATGCAGCAAGCTCCTCCAATGCAGCAAGCACAGATGGATTCTACTTTTTCAAAAGGGACAGAACAGAAAGAGCCAGAGGAAAAGGCGAAGTCCTTTAACCTCCATGAGATGCATCGGGTATCACCCGTAAAGGAATCTTCAAGCCCTGAAGTACCGGACAGTCCTCGTGATGCATTTCAGGCTGCTTTTCTTCAGAAGCAGCTTGCTGGGAAGGCACCTGCTTCTTCACCTCGGACGTCTTTGTGGATGAATAGTGCTCCTCTGCCAACACCCTGTGTTCTAGCTCCTGCTGCAGTGGCTACAATTGACTCCTCTGAGCCACATGGAAGTGAAAGGGCTCCTTCACCTGAAAGACAGGTTAGTAGGACTGTCATTATCACTCCTAAGAATTAAATTATGCATTCTGTTATAAGTATACAAGGGAGCCTTGATTGGTAACCCTTTCTTGGAATGAGATGCAGAGGGATTCAAAAGATAAATGTTGTCTTGATGCATTGTTTAGGCAGTCATTTATTTGACATAATTAAGCCAACAGCAAAAGACAAGATGTTAAGGGTAATAAAAAAAGGGATTAGCTCCAAAATGAATACTCCCAGTTACTAATTTTCTCATTAATTTTCCTCTCCAGCCAATGTCTCCATCAGGACAAATGCAGGAAAGAGGACCTCCATCCCCATTGCAGCAACCACCACCACCCACTAATGTTCCACCTGATGTTATTCAACAATCACATTCAGTTGTAGCTCCTACAAGTCAAGAGGCAATCATGCCACATGTGTTAGCAACATCTGATGGTGTTGATCAGAGAATGGCACCACCTTTGCCTGCTGCTCCTCCAGCTCATGTTGGGAGAGAGTCTGTTACATACCCTTATGTAAATCAACAACCAGATGTCCAGCCACATACAGCTGAAGTTTCCTACAGTGCTTCCAGAAGTCACAATCAAGGAGTAGCACCACTGGAACCTGTGGCTCCTCCACCTCATTTGGGTGAGGAGTTTGTCCCGCACCGTTGTGTAAATCACCAACCAGATATCCAGCCATTTACTGCTGATGTTTCTCGCAATATTCCTGATGGTCATGATCAAATAGTAGCAACCCCAGAGCCTGCTGCTCCTTCAGGTTATGTGGGTGTGGATCCTGTCCCCCACTCCAGAGTAAATCACCAACCAGATGTCCAGCCACATGTTGCTAATGTAGTCTTTCCAACTCTAAGTGACAATGTGAACCATCAAGTTCCAGTAAATCCCAATGCATTGCCCCGAAGCACTGCGGAGCCACACCATGGGTCCATGGTTCTACCACCTGAAACATCAAAGACAGCTTCAATTTCAACGCAGGAACCAATTATGCAACCTCCCAAGGTTGAAGCAAAACCAGAACCAACACCAATGTCATTGGCATCTTTGCTTCAGGGGGAAAAGAAGCAACCTAAAAAGAAAGCATCTGACGTTGATAAGAGCTTGCAGAATCCAGTTCCAATGCAGTCTTTCACTAACACTGTGCAGGATTCCTCATCTCCTCTCTCTGCACAAGAGAGAGACAATCATCCTTTTGATTCAAGAGGTAGAGTAGATGAGGGACGTCGGCCTGAGCATGATCCAAGTGACCCTCGTGATACTGATTCACCAGAAAATTCAAAGCGCAAAGATGATCCTTATTATGACCGAGACAGACGGGATCCATATTATGAACATGATAGAAGAGATTACAGGCGGGTGCATGAAAGAAGGGATTATGACAGACACGAATATGGCCGAAGAGAATATGATAGAATGGAGTATGACAGGATGGAATATGATTATCGGGACAGAAGGGAATTTGATCGAAGAGAGAGTGATCACAGTAGAAGAGATTATGATCCCAGGGATTATGACCGAAGGAGAAGTTATGATAGAGGGGAGAGCTACGACAACAGAGATGCCTATTACGGTTATGGGTCCCCAAGACAAGGAAGAAGGAGTTATGATGATCACAGAACTTCCAGAGAAGATTTGTACAGAGTCTCTGATCCTGCATATCCTCATTCATACTATAGTGGACGCAGTACTCCTTCATCTGATAGAAACAGTCCTTCTTATGACAACTCATCGACTTCCTACCCCTCACATCATTATGGCTATCCATCATATCCACCATATCCATCATATCCTGATACTCAATCCATGGACATGTACCAGTATTTAACAATGTTGTACTATTACTATCCACAACACTATGATCAGTATTGTGCCCAGCTTGGATACTATAATACTGGTTACACCCCAGAGCAGATGGCTCAGTATTACAATGGAACCCAGTACCCTCCTGGTTACCAAAACTCTCAGCCAGTACAGGGTATGTATCAGTGTTCTGTTGCTGTTGTTGCAATTTCTCTTTTTTTATATCTTATCCTGTCTTTTTCTTTTAAATAAATTTTCTTTTTAAACACTATGGCTGATTTCCAGGTCTCTCTCTTTTTTTTTGCCTCTCAGGTTGAAGTTTATAATTTCAGTGAAAATATATTTTTGGGGGGATGTCAGCTTTTTTAGGATTTTGGGTATCTGTGGCATTTTAAACCCTAAGAACCCTAAGAGTGATCAGCATCTAATTTCTCCTCACAGTACTAATGCTGAATCACTCTTAAAAATCATGAGAATTAAGGACACGACCATCAACCTGAGGAACTTGGATTGTTGAACAAATTCTCCTTGTTAGTAGCAAGGAGATTTGTAGATAGGAGTATGGAGAATATGGATACTGATGTTAGGGTGTGAAGGGTCTAAGGTCCTTTGGTTTTTGCTCTGGTCTTCAGGATGCACTTTTAGAATAACTATTGTCTTGGCTGTTTTTGTAGATATATTGGTTGAAAATTGATAATAAGTGGATGAGGAAAATGTCTTAGTAATTCTCTCTCTCTGTTGTTCCCAGCTGCTCAGACTGAAGTCCAAGAATCTGAACCTGCACGACTGACTCCACAATTGTACAGAGTCCAACATCCCTTAGTGCGTTTCAGTGGTAACAGGTTGATCTCCCTCCTAGGCAGTGGGGAAGAAGATGAACAACCCAAGTGTGTAGTTGCAGCAGTTCAGGTTTGTTCAATAGATCTGAATGGTTGAAAAGTGCTATTCCACATGTTGTTCCAAACTCAATGAACACATATCAAGGGTTAGCTGCATGAAAACTTTTTTAGTGGTAGTAAAACCCAGACTAAAATAATTCATGACTCTTAAATCTGGGCCCGGAAGATTTTAATTAGCAAACAGATTCAATATTGCTGTGTGTCTGTTCAGTGATAGATCACAGATCAACGTCAAAATGTTGTAAGAACATAATTCAGCAGCACAGGAGGCACAACTGAGAGTTTCACTGAGCTATGTTCTCACTAGATCTTGACGTCTTCTGTGATCTGTCACTGTACAGACCAGCAGTGACATGGAATCTTTTTATTATAAATGATTAAAAAGTAACATGTTGTTAATGGTGATGCCAGCTATGTTCTCCAATAGGTCTTTAGTGAGAACCAATTCAAATGGGTGGGGGTGGGGGTGGGGGTGGGGTGGGGGGGGGGACTCAGCTTATCATGATTTTAATGCCTACTATGGCACTTGGGATCTCAGTGGACTTGAGAAAAGGATTTTGTGTTTGGATATATGTGGCAGTAGTTTAATTATTTTATTGTTAAATATTTCAGTGTGATAAGTGTACAATTTAGGATAGTAATTCCTCCTTAAGCCTGTGAAGCTCATTCTCCAAAAGAGAACATACTAAATGATATGGAGTTGATTGTTGCATCTATCTCTACAACATTTACAATATGACAATCCAAAATGAAATTAGATACGTAGACAGTTTTTAGTATATCTTTTGTTCTTGTCTGAGCAGATGGTGTTTGATGAAGAACAGATAAATCTCATCAAAGCATTTCCAGGCCCACTTTCAAGGTTAGTTGGTCTACACCTGCTAAGGCAGTTAAGGAGGGAGGCATTGGGATTTTTGGTTTTGCGGTTTTGGCTACATTTTAGATCGGTTTTTCGGTTTTGGTGTTCGTTGCGGTTTGCGGATTTTCCGAATTTTAGCATTTGGTTTTCGGTTTTCGCGAAAAATATTGACGGGTTTTCGAATTTGATATTCGATGCGGTTTTCGGTTTTTCCGAATTTTAGCGTTTGGTTTTTGGTTTTCGTGAAAAATATTGACGGGTTTTCGGATTTCATATTCGACGCGGTTTTCGGTTTTTCCTATTTGATCTATTTGGGTTCCGGTTTCTCTTCGATCTGAGCGGCAATTACGCGCCTCCACTGATCTCGAATAGCAGATAAACGCAAATGTTATCGAGAGGAATGTGTGACAAACCAATTGAAATATCGCAGGGATCCCTAGGTAGCCTACGTATCCGTACCCTTCCCCCAAGGTGGGGGGGAGGGGAGGGTACGGTTACACGAACATTGCCAGAGTTTCTTTATCAATGCCACCTCGAAGTTAGTGACCAAGTTACAGGCCACACGTGACAGATTGATCAACATTCCAATAGAATCTCCAAACTTTCAGGTCTTAGTTCGCAAATGGAAATGTTAGATTAGGGATTTTCGATAAAACTTTCCAGAGCTATAGCTTTTTGCGACTGCAAAATTGTAATCCTAGAGAGGACCTTTGTGCAAACTTCCTTGATTTAATTAGGTTCCATTACCAGTTGCTGAGTCCGCAAAGACCACGCTCGAGGTTCTCGAGAGAGCAGCTGTTAATTTAAGCAGATACTAGAAGATACGAATGCCAAGTCCGTGGCATTCATAAATCCTGTAATGAAATTAGTTTAGGTTACTCTGTATGCTCCACTTGTCACCACTGTATCGGATCGATCGGGGTTTTAATAACTGGGATGCGAAAATGTATCGGCGTTGACAGTTTCGCATGCGGTTTTCGGTTTGATCGAATGTTTTTTTCGGTTTTTCGGTTTTGGATGATTTTTTCTACGGTTTTACGGTTTCTAATGGGCCCCCCCCTCGTTAATGCCGCTCTCGCTAAGAGCAGTCCTCTCGACTTCCCTTCGGAAAAAAGTTTTCTTTTATTTTTTGTCCATGAAAAAGGTTTAGGACACATGTCTCAAAACTAGTTTAGTTGTTCTCCAATTCTCTTTTTTTGCGTCGCCACAAGCCAAAAATTATTTTTGGTCAGTACACCCGTGTAGACAGCGATCGAAAGTGTAAATTTCACAGATTTTGTCCAGCGTGCAGCGACTGCAATAACATAGCTCACGGAATTCTATCTTGCTACAAGTTACGAGGTGCCTTCAATTAGTTCACAGACAAAATATGGAAACTTCAGCTGAAGTATTTTTCATACAAGCGTGATCAGAGGAGAGCCTTCTATTCGACCTTTATTTGCATATCAAAATTCACCAATTTGTACGAAAGAAATCTCAAAATGCAGGCGTTAATCGGGCTAAAAAAGCATATCAGTGTATAGTTTATACACCAATGAGGTCAACGATTGGCTCAAACCCGCGGGTATATCTGTAGCTTTCATCCACTAACATCTTAAATACAACGCAAATCCATGCGTTTGCTCAATTGCGCTCGTGTCAATGATCATTTGCATAATTCTGAAACTCGACCAAGATCTCCTTTTGATAGTTCCAACCTCGTTTGTTTATCCTCTACGGTGAGGATTTCAGGTTTTCATTACAACTGAATGGAGAATAGATGCCGAGTTGTCCTAAAACGTTGCGTAAACGTGATCGGTCGTAACGCTTGCGTGCTTGCGTGACTTACAAAGTAAACAAAGGCGATCGGAAGGCGCCTTCTCGATAATTTTCGTTGAAATATCTGGTCATGAACTACGCACAGTGAGGAGAAGATCAAAATTAAAGAATAAGGTTTGGAACTCTAGCTATTACAGACATAAAGTGTTTCTTAAAAGGGCGCACAAACAAGTTGAATACGTTACAGTGTTATTTACTGCAACAACACGCATACACTCCGAAAGAATTCTTCCAGTTTCTCCCGAGATTTTGCACACAAAATGCGATGAACTAGCCTTCCTTTCTACAATTTTTTTCCATCATTAATGGTTTAACAGTGTTATGGACCACAACGGCTTTGACCGACAAACTCAACATTTCCATGCGACCATCAAAATCAACTGGACAACCCAGCATGATGTGTTGCGTGACGTGATCGTGAAATTTTTCCCTTGTCTATAACCTATATCGCGAACTAAAATTAGTTGATGTAACGAATTAGAATCGAAAGCTATCAAAATGGAGTGAATAATTTTACATATTACTGAGAATCTATCTTTTAAAATGTTTACTTGATTCATGGAAAGCAAAGATTGTAGTGGCTGCGGGTATTTCAGCCCTGATTTCTATGAGCACAAGTTAAGCTTGTTTTGGTCCGGTCATTTTGGCAAACAAAACAGATATTTATATGAAGATTTAGATATATGAAAATTCACATATTTGCACTGCGGTGGAAAGATGAAATTAGAAGATCCTCGCCTAGGATCTAGTAGGACCTGAAAAAAAAAAATTTCAGGCCCGTACGGGATTTGAATGTTTATCGGATGTTTATTTGTACCCAATTCATTGACCAGCTCCCAGTTGGCTTGTTAGCTCAATTGGTAGAGCACTGCACCGGTATCGCAGAGGTCATGGGTTCAAATCCCGTACGGGCCTGAATTTTTTTTCAGGTCCTACTTACAACTACTAGTTTCAGTAGTGTTCTTAGCTGCGAAGATCTTCTAATTTCATCTTTCCACCGCAGTGCAAATATGTGAATTTTCATATATCTAAATCTTCATTCACTCGGATGTTTATTTATTTGTACCCAATTCATTGACCAGCTCCCAGTTGGCTTGTTAGCTCAATTGGTAGAGCACTGCACCGGTATCGCAGAGGTCATGGGTTCAAATCCCGTACGGGCCTGAATTTTTTTTCAGGTCCTACTTACAACTACTAGTTTCAGTAGTGTTCTTAGATATTTATATGTTCTAAACATGGGAACACCTGGAAGACACTAGGAAAGACACTCGATAAGCTGGAAACCACTCCGCTTCGCGTCGTGGTTTCCTACGCTTATTTCGTGTTCTTCCAACCTCCCGCGTGTTTACATCAGGCTATGTAAACACGGAAACCATTTTACATTTCTTCATTGTACCATGGTTTCCTCAGGCGTTCGCTGGTTTTTCGTGCGTCGTTGGTTTAGATGTTTCCTTATTGTAGACATCCATACTTCCGGTATTTCGGCTCCGATGTCCCTGTTTATGTAATTTGGGTTGAGTCTTATGTGAATTGCCTCCTTCACTTTCCTTGTGTACTGATGGCTTTCTCGGTCAATAAGCGTGGTTTCGTTCCACAGCGGCTTGTGTCCGGTTCCGTTGGCATGTTCTGAAACCGCAGAATTCTGAGTGCGTGCGAGTCGTATATCCCTGTCGTGTTCTTTCATTCTCGCTTGCATGGGTCGTCCTGTTTCCCCGATGTAGACTTTGTCGCATGTGCATGGTATCTTGTAGACTACGCCATCTTGCTTGTTTGGGTCAGCGGGGTCTTTTGGTCTGACCAGCCGAGATGTTAGTGCGGTGTCGGATTTAAAGACGGCGCGTATTCCTTGTTGCTGTAGGTGGCGGCGGAGGGGTTCTGAGACCGCTTTGATGTATGGCAGTACTGCGGTATACTTGAATTCTGTTGTTTCCCTCTTGGGTGTTGGATTCCTGGTTTTGGTCACCTTCTGTAGGAAGGACGGAGGGTAGCCGTTGGCGACGAGAGCTGTGGATAGATGTTTTTTTCTCCTGGGCTGTTCCAGATGGCTTGGTGATGATGCCTTTAGCTCGGTCATGTAAACATTTGACAGTACCGCGTTTAACAGATTGTGGGTGATGCGAATCATAGGCGAGGTACTGGTCGGTGTGTGTGGGTTTTCTGTATACACTTGTGAGTAGTTTGCCGTCTGGTTCCCTTGTTACGAGGGTGTCGAGGAAGGCGATCTTGTTGTTATTCTTAGTTTCCATGGTGAAGCGGATAGACGGGTGTTGTTGGTTGAGGTGGCTCAGAAGGTTATCCGCGTTGTGCTGTTTCATGACGATGAATGTGTCATCTACATAGCGCTTCCATATTCTCGGTGGTTCTGGGGCTGTAGCTGAGGTTTGTTCTTCGAAGGCTTCCATGTATAGATCGGCAATTACGGCGGAAATCGTCTTCTTGTTGCTCGTAGAGTGCTCCGTTGTACTTTAAGTATGTGGATCTCAGGACGAAATTTAGAAGATCTGCAATCTGGGTAGGTGTGAGCGCTGTGCGGTCTGGTAGGCTCGGATCGTTGTTGAGTCTATGTAACGCGGCCTGTACTGTTTCTTCTATAGGGACGTTGGTGAATAGCGACTCGACGTCAAAGGATATCATTGCTTCGTCTGTTGGGATGGTCTCTTTACTGATTATGTTCGCAAATTCTCCTGAGTTCTTCACTGTGTAGTTGGAGTTACCTGTGAGAGGAGACAAAATTTTAGCTAGGTGACCCGATAGATCGTAAGCAAGGGTGTTGACAGAGGACACTATGGGTCCGAACGGTGCGTTGGCTTTGTGTATTTTTGGTACGCCGTAGATTCTGGGTGGTCGCTTCTGCTTCGGCCTGATCTTGTTGTATTCGGTCTCCGATAGGTTCCCGCTTCGTTCGAGTTGTAGCAGCTTTTCCGTGGCTTTTCGGCTCAAGCGGTCTGTTGGGTCTTTGTTTAGGAGTTTGTACGGCCCGGTCTCGATCAGTGTTGACATCTTGGAGTGGTAGGTTTCCATGTCGAGGACTACACTCGCACAGCCTTTGTCTGCTGGTAGGATCCTGATGGAATGGTCCTGTTTGAGACTTTTTAGCGCATTTCGCATTTCCGTTGTGATGTTAGGCTTGGGTAGTACGGCCTTTTGGAGTACGTTGTTCACGGTTCTTCGGACTGTGTCGGCTTGTTCCGCGTCAAGTGGTCTGATGGCTGTTTCTACCTTCGCGATTATTTCTGTGGCCGGGATGTTGGTCGGCGTGACGGCGAAGTTTAGTCCTTTCTTGAGCAGGGTGGTTTCTGCGTCGCTGAGTGCTCTGGAAGACAGGTTAATGACCTAGTTTGTTTGGTCAACGTTGGGTGTCGAGGTTGACTTGCTGGCTGCTTTCTGTTCGAGGAGAAGTTTCTCAAATTTTTGTTTCTGTTGCTCCTTGGTGTTGTTGAAGACTCGCTGGGTGTTAGTACTGATCTGTTCTCGTAGAGTCTTTAGTCTTGAACTGACTAAAATTTATCAGGAAGGCTTTTACTTTCTTTTGTTGCGAAACTTGTGGATTTTAGAACTCTGAGCGACGTACGATAAATCCTGGCAACTAGAATTTGATTCCACTGGCGAACTATGCCGGCTGGTCTCATGAGCAGATCAAGCCCTGACGAAAAAATTTGACAGCTTTGAAATTTTTAAACGGATGCAAAATCGAGACAAAAATTTGTCATGACAATTTTTCCTTTGATTTTGTTAAGAGAATTCTGGTTTTGTCTACTCGTGCAGATAGCCCAGAGAGGCCCTTACGAATCAATTTTTAGTTAAATAATAGCCTTCACATTCGAGAAATTGAAAATATATTACTCGTGTGATCCAACTACAACTATAATTCCGAAAACATCTTTAGTCAGTCTGGCTTTCTTTCACTGCCTCACATTGTCCCTCGTCTTCTGGGTGCCAACAAGTACTTTCACCGCATTTCCAATGTTTCCGAAAGTGTTCCGATGTTTAGAACATTCCAATAACTGTTTTATTTTTTCCATATCGGGCCCAAATGACCGAACCAAAACAAACTTAACTTGTACTCGAGGATTTCGCTGGATAGCTGGTAGTACTTCAAATGACTCGATACGTCGTCTCGGCTTTCCAGGAGAGAAATCAGAGCTGAAATATCCGCAGCCACTACAATCTTTGCTTTCCATGAATCAAGTAAACATTTTTGGAGATAAGATTCTCAGTAAAATGTAAAATTCTACAGCCCATTTTAATAACCTTCGATTCTAATTCGTTACATTAACTAATTTTGGTTCCGCGATGGAGGTCATATGACAAGGAAAAAATTTGCACAATCACGTCACGCAACACATCAAGCTGGGTTTGTCCAGTTGATTTTGACGGCCGCAGGGAAATGTCGAGTTTGTCGGTCAAAACCGTTGTGGTCCATAACACCGTAAAATCATGAAAACAAATTGGCAGAAACGAGGGCTATTTCATTGCGTTCCGTGTGCAAAATCTCGGGAGAAACTATAGGAATTCTTTCAGAGTATATGCGTGTTGTTTTGGTAAATAACACTGTAACGTATTTCAACTTGTGTGTTTATCCCTTTAAGCAACGCGATATGTCTGTAATGACTAGAGTGCCAATTTTCATCTTCTCCACACTGTGCGTAGTTCATGACCAGATATTTCAGCGAAAGTTATCGAGAAGGCGTCTTCCGGTCACCTTTGTTTACTTTGTAAGTCACGCAAGCGCGCAAGCGTTACGACCGATCAGGTTTACGCAACGTTTTAGACAACTCGGCATCTATTCTCCATTCAGTTGTTATGAAAACTTGAAATCCTCAATGCAGAGGATAAACAAACGAAGTTAGAACGGTCAAAAGGAGATCTTGGTCGAGTTTCAGAATTATGCAAATGAGCATTGACACGAGCGCAATTGAGCAAACACATGGATTTGCGTTGTTTTTAAGGTGTTGGTGGATGAAAGCTACAGATATAACCGCAGGTTAAAGGCAATCGGTGACCTCAATGGTATATAAATTATACACTGACATGCATTTTAGCCCGATTAAAGCCTGCATTTTGAGATTTCTTTCGTACAAATTGGTGAATTTTGATAAACAAACAAAGGTCGAATAGAAGGCTCTCCTCTGATCACGCTTGTATGAAAAATATTTCAGCTGAAGTTTCCATATTTTGTCTGTGAACTAATTGAAGGCACCTCGTAACTTGTAGCAAGATAGAATTCCGTGAGCTATATTATTGCAGTCGCTGCACGCTGGACAAAATCTGTGAAATTTACACTTTCGATCGCTGTCTACATTAGTGTACTGGCCAAAAATAATTTTTAGCTTGTGGCAACGCGAAAAAAGAGAATTGGAGAACAACTAAACTAGTTTTGAAACATGTGTCCTAAACCCTTTCCATGGGCAAAAAATAAAAGAAAACTTTTTTCCGACGGGAAGTGGAGAGGACCACTCTTAGTGAGAGTGGCACTTAATAACTCTCTGAAAGTCCTTTTGTTTTGTGTTTTGCAAACTATGAGATTTGGTGACAGAATTTCATTTGAAAATGAAGTTGTATTAAAGCACCTTGTTAAAACAGTGGAAAAATGTGTGAACTGCTTGAATGTACAGAAAAATATTGATAAACAATCCTCTTCAAAAATTAATGTATCACCATAAAAAGATCCCTTCATGTCAGAAAATACTCATCAAACACAACTCCCTAACCTTTGATTGTAAACAGTGTTATTGAGGCATTTATAATTTTTTCTTCAATTTCCACTTCTAGCATGTACTCTAGTAGAACAGAAGTGATGTCTTACTGTGAACAGAGAAGTGCTACAACAGACACATCCATTGAATTAGTGAAATCTCTAATTTGGAAAATTCTTGGGAATCTAGTCAAGCACAATGGAGTGAGTAATTGTGAATGATTCTCAAGTTTGATGGTCTTGTAGTTTTGTCTGTCTGTTCATCCATTCCTTTATGGTGCTCTGCTATTTGGTTAATTCTAAGTGCTTCCACTTACAAAAATTGTTGTTGCAAAAGATCAGTGGCTAGCTTCACTTTGCTTCAAAACGTGGTAACAGTAATAAAAAGTGACCAACTATTGTATTCTCAGGCCTTTGTACCATCCGATTTGGCTGAAATCATTATGGCAAACTGGAGGATGTCTAATGCATCAGATGAACATGAATTCCCATGTGCTGAGAATGCACTGCCAGCTTCCGAGTCTGAGAAGAACAAACATGTTGCAGTTTATAGAGAGATGCTTTTAACAGGTGCAACTAAGGTAATGTTGACTTTTTACTTTCAGCTCTTGATTCTTATTTTCCCAAAAAAAAACTTGTCTGCCTCACTTGTGGAGTTTGGGTGACTAGAGTATGCCTTTTGGGCAGCCAATCCCCAAATTGAGTAACCATCCCTTAGCTGGCTTGATCTAGCAACCCAGTCAAAGGCTACCCATGGAACAGAACTTGCAACACATGGCTATAGTCATTTACCATTATTTGTCTAGGATGCCCTGGAGTACTCCATGAGATATGGTCTGTGGGGACACGCCATGATGCTGGCAGGAAAAATGGATAAGAAAGTGCAAAATGATGTTATGACAAGGTAAGGAATAGATGTTATGAATTGCTGGAGACATGGAGACTTGTGATTTGTCTAATGGACTAAAAACTGAGAGCTTTTGATGTGAACCCTGTGTGGATCATTGTGATATATGTAATTGGGAAAGACACTGAAATCTTTCAGTGCTTCTCTCCTCCTGTGAGCTAGAAGGGCCACTGGTAAACTGACACAGAAACTATAAAGCTGAAGTAAGAACTGCCATCAGTGGTGCTAATCCAAAAAACATCACCATATTTAGTTAAGTGACTTTCATTGTTGCACAGCGCAAATATCTTACTCACAATTCTAAGGTCCTCCTTTAATTTGCTCTTCTTTCAAAGCTAATTCTTAACTTCATTGTTTTCTGTTTTTTAATCCAGATTCATGAGGACTATGACTGATTTTGATCCAATCCACACGGTTTACAATCACCTTTCTGGAAGACAACCTGTTGCATTGATGGTGAGTGACTGCCCAGCTTAAACCTTCTCTTTTGTTGTTGTCAACAGCTGTCTTCTTACATAGAGCTGGCAATAGGGTTACTACCTGAAATGTACCATCCTCTCAACCAACCATGCTAATGCATTCAGCAAACCTGGTTTTCCATGGTTGGTGCTGTTTGCTTGTTCTCACTGGTTCTGTGCAACATTTCTCTCCCCCCCTTCCGAAATATTTGGACTCATACTTTGGTTTAGTTTTTACATCATACAATTGACATAATCTGTCCTTTGGGTGCCTTTTCATGAAATCTTTCAACTTTTGCTACTCTTCCCTTTCAGACACCTGATGACTGGCAAAGGAATCTTGCAGCAATGGTGGCCAATCCACCCCGTCAGCACCCAAAGAGTAACAAGAAGAACATCATTTGTTTGGGAGATACTCTGAGTAAGTTCCACATCATGGTGCAAGTTGTTTAACACATAATAGATTAGTTAAGTGCACTGAAAACAAATTACTTTGTAGTGAACAAAACAAGTGAAAAAAGTTTATTTATGCCATAAGCTAATAAAGAAAGAGCAAGTTATTGCGGCAGTTATCATAATGCACATGTTTCAGCCACTGGCTTACTGAATCAGTTATTACCTTACTATGACATCACCACTAATGATACTCAGTCAGTTATAATGCAAAATGATGATTTCTTAATTTCAGTGGCTAATGATCAGGTTTGGGCTGCACATTTATGTTACCTGTTGGCTTCTGAAAAGTTTGGTTTTCCATCTGATGAAAAGACCAAGATGACACTGATAGGAGTAGATCACAGGTAATTGTCACAACTCTGTTATAGAGTGATGAACCAACGGAAATGTTCCAGTTTGTTTAAGTCGATTCCGTCTCTTCATTCTAAAACACCACCACTACAAGGGGCTTTTTTTTATCTCTTTGTACTGGAAAAGATGTCACCAACCCTTGAAAAATCTTTCTCTTTTACAGAAAAAATCCACTCACAGAGAAATCCATCCCTCTTGAAAACTTGCAGATGATGGAGGTATGAATCTAAAATTATTTGTCATACAGTGAATTCTGATAAGAGATAACTAATCTTTCTTTCGTTTTGTCGTTTTTGTTAGGTTTTAGAGTATGCTCTTAGTCTAAACAATGAAGAATATCATATCCCAGTGCTGCAGGTATGTAGTTAGGGACATTGATTGTGGGTCTGTTTGAAAGGGATATCTTTCTATCATGCTGCAAATCCTGATTTGAGGTCAATTGGAAATGATGCCAACGTACACAATCTCAAGTATTCACTGAAAAAATAATAAATAATAATGGTAAAATATTTGTTTTTATTAGACATACAAATATCTCCACGCTGAAAAGTTGGCTGAGGGAGGTTTCACTGATGAGGTAAGAAAGTAAAAGAAGAATTGATGTTGTTGTCTTGTGAATTGTTTGTTTGGGAGGACATGGGCAAAAATTCTGGTTCTGTTGAATGAGGGGTGCCATAAATACAATGTTTAACTCTGCACTTTTTATCTCAAAAGGCTCAGCAGTATGCAGACCTCATTAGTCGTATAATCATTAAACATCCTCACCACTTTAACTCTACATTAACCAAGAACATTAAAGAGGTAAGGAATTCAAGATGAGATACCAGTAATGTAGATGATTTTTCTATTCTTGCAAAGGTGTACTGTTGAATATCAATTAAATCTTGCTTTTCTTTTCTTTGTGTCTCAGCTGGCAGACAGATTAACTCCTGAAAGTGAAGAGGCTGCTGCTACAGAAATGACAGAAATGTTGGACAGGCTTCTGCAAGCTAAAGATGTAAGAAAAACAGAGTTACCATTTACAAGTTAGGTTGCTGTCTCAGATGTTATATCAGAAGCTACAGGCCATCATAATTTTTTCATGGAGAGGTTTTCCACAGCAGTTGTAGTTGAATGTTTAAGTTCCTTTAGAGTATATTACATAGTCTAGGCTGGCCTTTTTTGCCCTAGTTTATTGGAATCATGGCATCACAGTGCAAAGAGTCTCATTGAACAAAGCTGAACAATTTCCATATAGATGTATGGGACAGCATATCTAATAACCCTCTTAATAATCAACAGTAAGATATGCATCAAAGATCAGCAAATAGTGCCATCCACATAATTATTAATATTTGCTTTTCCCCAGCAATCATCCCAGATCAGCAGTTCTGTTACAGAAAGTGAAGGTGACGCAGAAGATCCCCTTGGAGAAAGCTCAGTATCCTTTTTCTCAGGATATGAGCCTACCCCCAAACATCAGGAGGCAGAGGAAGCTGAAACAGCACCTCCCATAAGACCGCCCTCAGCTACTGGTCATCATCAAGATTCATGGTCTAGTGGTATGGATCCAGAAGCTACTCAGCCTGAAAAGCCTCTAATACAAGGAACTTCATCCATGCAGCAGTTTCCTTCAAGCGCTGCATCCCAACCTCCAGACGTTTGGTCAGAGCCTTCATCTGCAGCAAATCCTCCTCCACAGCAACCTTTCTTTGTGCCAGGTCCTCCTGTGTCACAACAAGTTACTGAACCAATGGTCAATGACCCACCAGCTGCAGTGGAGGACCAGCCTTATTACCCCCAGCAGCCAGTGTGGAAAGACAATTACCAGGAGGTATCAGAAGTATCATGGAATGACAATCATCAAGAGCCCTCTTGGAATGGCAGTCGTCAGGAACCGTCTTGGAATGGCAGTTATCAGGAACCATCCTGGAATGATAGTCATCAGGAACCATCCTGGAATGACAGTCATCAGGAACCACCTTGGAATGACAGTGGCCAGTCATCATGGTCAGAGGGAGTCAGAAATGAGGAACCAAAGAAAGTTGAGCCTCCACCACCTAAAGGTATCAAGTGACAGTATGATTGATTGTGTGATACAATATTGTACAACATAGGATTGTACAAGATTTCTGACAGATTTTTTATCCTGTTATAGAGCCTGAGCCACCAGCAAAAGAAGAACCAAAGCCCAAACCATCTGAGAAGAAAAAGAATGCTAAGAACAGCAGTAAGGTTTGTAAAAAAAACAAAACAAAATACTGTTCCCTTTATGAGCAGTCATTCTACTGCAGTTCTTCTGAATTATTAACTTTCTCGTGGTCTTATGTATAGGAATGCATTCAAGCTTGAAGGTTGTGGAAGGTTTTTGCAACCACAATCATCATTTTAAATAATTGCTAGCTGCAGTGGAGATTCAATTCCCTTATTCTCTGCCTAGGAATTTATCCAGTGGATATTTTAATTACCCAATTTACACAAATGTGCACAGAATAAAGTGCTTAGTGTTTCTTTTTAGGATGAGATTTTGTCAACAGCATATTTATTTCAACTGTTTATATGGTTTTATTTGCAGGGTGGCTGGTTCTCAGGTCTGTCTGGGATAATTCAGAAAGTCATGCCTCGAGGCTCCAATGAAATGATTCTTCCTGATGACAAAAATAAAACGGTAGAGTTTCTTACCACTTATTGTGTTACCTGCATTCTTCTCTAGATTTTTAAGGATTTTGATTTTTAACCCTTGCATCATTAGTTTTCCTTTTTTTTTAAATTCAAGTAACTTTGCCATTTTATAATCTTGTGTTAATATAGATTTACTGGGACGAGGAGCTCAAAAAGTGGGTTAACACTGAAGAGGATGAGCAGGTATGAGTGTCATTTTAATCATACTTAATAGAAGTTGGGACCAAATTAGCCCAAATTCTTTAGTTATTGAAACAGAGGTCTTTTTGAATGTGCTAGAAAATGAAACAATTGTTGAGATATTTTGATGATAGTCATCAATGATGTGGTTCTTGTTTTGTCCTGTGTAGGAGAAAACTCCACTACCCCCACCCCCAAGTGACATGCAGCTTGGTGGAGGTATGCCACCTTCTATTCCACTCAGCAATGGCTTCCCCCCCAGTGCAGGTGAAGATTTTTGTTGTCATTTTAGGACTTATTAGACATATACTTGAGTTTTTAAGACACCTTTTCAAAGAAGCTATCAGTCAATATAATTCTTATAACTATCTTCAGCGTCAAAAATGAATGGTGCTCGTGAGACATCTGCAGCTCCTCCTCCATTTGGGGCCCCATTGTTGCCAAATGTTCCTGCCAGCCAGCAGTCCAGTCCAGGCATGCTACCTGGAATGACGACTCCTTCAACACCTTCTAAGTTCTCGCGGTTGGCACACGGGGGCAGAAGACATGGTAAGTGCTTAGCATACATGATCAGATGTTTTTGTGAACTGTTAATTTAAAAAACAAATATTCTTGAAGGTCTAATCCAGGTTTCTAAGTTCTAACTTCTTTAGTCTAGAACCATGCATTGGGGCTACCTTTATTAGCTTCTCTTAGATTGACAACCTTACCTGCACATTTCCTTTCATTACTCTAAAGTTTATTCTGATTGTAGAACATCATTGAAAATAGTTGTGACAGTAATTTGCTTTGATGCTGAAACAGTTACTAAGAGGTTCTGACTGCCTTACTCCTTTCAGCTAAGAAGTATGTGGATGTCTTGAACCCAAATAGCCAAAGCTCCAATGCTTCTGCTCCACTTCCAAGCGGTCTTCTGCCCATGATGCCCGGCCCAACTACTGAATTTAAAGGAAACCTTTTCATACCTGCTCCTGTGACTACAAGTAAGAGTAATGCATTGTTCACATCTGTTGTTGTTGGTAATATTGTCGCTTTATTTCAGATCTCATCAAAATGAAACTACAGTGAGACCTTTTTTGAGGCAGTCACTTATATCAGTAAATTTAAGATATTTGGGGAAAAAATTCTTATTTACAAATAGGCCTTGATTCTCTTTTTTGGTGTTTGGAGTTTTATTAATTTTCCATGTGGATCAAGTATTTATTTAACCCCAAGAAAATCATAGGTTGGTTGTTAGAAAATAATCAATGAAGTGGTTGCCATAATGAGTAACAGACATAATGTTTTCCAAACATACACGACTAAAATTGATTCTGTGTTATTCTTATAGCTGATCAGAGTGCTGATCAACAGCCTGCTATTGGCAATCCTTCATCACGTCCCTCATCCCGGTAAGATAATTAATGATGATAGAAATGATCAAGTGATTTCTTTTCAAATGACAATGTGTATTTTATAACTTAAAAGAGGATTAATCAGGCTTACATTTTAGGATAATGGTCAGCTTAGCAGGTGCTTATGGAGAGAAAAAGATTTCTTGCAGCGGGTAACACAAAGAAAAGGGATGATGCAACACAAAAATTCAGAATAAGGAAGAAGAGCTTTGACTAATCTTCCATGCTCTTGCCACAGAAGTCTCGCAGACATTTTTTCTTTCATTACAAAGAAATTTATCCTTACAATATCAGTATAGAATCAAGCAGAAAAGTAAAGAGAGCAAAGAAAAAATTCAACAAGGGGATAATTAGTTGATCCAATACCAACTTCTCAGAACAAACATCATGAGAATGATATAGAAGACAGCAAGGAGAATTACTGATGAGATCTGGGGGTGAAAGGATTAAAAAAAAGACTTTGTTTTTTGTTTTCTTTTTAAGAAATGAAGAAGAGGACAGGGGCGATCAACAGTCACAGGTGAATTGCAATTTTGAGCCTACTTTTTATCAATTTGAGATCAAACCCCTGGACATGTGAATTTATTACACTTGATTTTCTGTTTGTTCACCTTTTCTCAATTATTATTAACTCAATGTAAAAATGAAAGTAAAATTCTAAGTGTTAAAATGATAATGCTAGGCAAAGCTGGTTAATTTTAAAACTAATAAGCAAATCTGTCACTGCTTCATATCATTGTTTTAAAATGCATCACAATGAAATGTGTAGGGTATATGCAAAATACTAAATGTTAATCTGAAACAGCATTACTGTATTCCCTGTAAATTAAAACGAGCTGCAGTGTAAAGACTCATGCTTACAGACAGTGTACAATAGTGTATAATGCATCTTAATCCGAGTTTTTAAGCATTTGAAGGTAAAAGGTCACTTGATGTCTGTTTGAGGCATTTTTAATTTCTTTTTGTGAGCCTACCCTCTGCATTGAGTGAACAGTTTGATTTTTCATATTAGGGGTACATGTCTTTTCAGTGTTCCTGAGTTGTAGATGCTTGAAGTTGGGTGCAATGAGTGCTTAATAGTCAGCTTGCTGGACTCACACCAGGTCAAAGTATCATGTTCTCAAGTGAGACACACATGAATAGATTTTGGGAAAATTTCACAAACACTTGTCTTCTCATTTATGAGGCAGCAACACTTTTCATCATTTCTAGCTACAGCATCAGGCTATGCTTGGGCAGCATAGATTGAAGGATTGGAGAGGGATTTTTTTTCCTCTCCTTGTTTGGTTATGTCAGATGGAGAATACATCATTACAGCTGAAGATGCTTCCAGTGTTCAGTTTCCTATGTTTTCAACATACACGTTTTTGTTTTCAGCATTCCCGATCAAGCTCTGTTTCCCTTACTTCAGCTGAAGTCCGTAGCTATATGATGCCCCAGGTATTTAATTGAATTCTGCCCTAGCAACTGCTGTAGGAAGATCAGCTTAGGCAGAGTCCATGGGGCAACCATAGACAGTGAAAAAAATTTTAAAAAAGTGTAGTGAAAGCAGTTGCAAATTTCACCTGAATGGGGCTTGTTTGAGTTTTAAAGTTGTTCTTTTCATTTTATTAGTGTTGGCCATTTATACTTCAATGCTTGCATCCAAAGATCATATTTTCACTTAATCATTTTAGATCTAATATTTCTCTGTTCAGTTAAAAATCATGCAACTTGCCTTTAATGATTCATCATATTTCTTCCTTCCTAATAACAAACTTAACACATCTTTTCTGTCTAATAAAAAATTTAGAGGTTTAATGATTTGTGCAGTTCAAGGAAGTTTTACAAGAAATAAGTAACAAATAAAGGATTTAAGGTTTTAATTAAATGCTGTGTATTTCTTTGATGGTTATTAAGCCAATGAGTCTTGTACTGCACTTTTAAAAGTTCAACTGTCATTAAAACTTTTGGCAGTTAACTTCTTAAGTCTTGTTTAAAATGCTTAAATCAAACCAGGTTTTCCTTTTCCTTTTCACAGTTGACTAGTTTCACATACTGATCTTAATCTGCTAAATAACTGGACTTTTTTCCACTTAATGTTTTTAAGTCATCTTAATCTACCATCCCTCACCAATTTTACTCCTTGTTGGTTTATTCTAATGGCTTTTGTGTTGTTGGGTTTTTTTTTTTCTGTCCTATTAAAATTTTTGATGAAAGCCAGAATGTTGGTGAGATAGCTTTAACAGTTTCTGTTTTACTATTGCAGGACCCAGACCCACCCCCTCAAGAAACCAATTCCGTTCCTCCACCTATGTTCTTTGATCCAATAGTCTTCAGTCAGCCTCAGGCTCAGGCCTCACCAAGAAAATCTCGCTATCCGGGTATCCGGAAAAACTAATTGTCTAAAAAAAACATTTAATTTAAAAATTGGAGATTTTGAAATATTTGTCTGGTGTATTTAATTTTATGATATTTTTGAGAAGTTTTTGCATATGATTCACGTTTCCGCTTCCTTCCTTTCCTTCCTTTCTCTTTCTCTCTTTCTCTTGATTTTCATATTTTGAATTTAAGCTGTACTTTTTCCATTCTTCCTCTCAAAAATTAATTCTGCTCTGGGTCTGACCCATTTTGATCGGGATTTTTTCATCAAGTTTTCAGTGGTTATCAAATGAAAAAATCCACATTGATTTTTTTTTTTTTTTTTTTCAAACCAGACAAATATTTCAAAATCTCCAATTCCTCTAACTGTAATAAATAAAAATTAATGGGTGGAGCAACAAAAAAAAAAAAGGGGGGGGTGTTAATACTATTTATAAGAATTATGGCACTTTTGGACAATTTTAATCCTATTTCTCAAAGAAAAATGCATTGATTCCAACAGCACTTTATTTCACAACTGAGATGTAAGATTATTTTATTTTGAATTCAGCTACAGATTTACACTTTATTATTTTGATCTGAATCCTTTGCTGTCTTTGAATGTTTTTTAATGAGAGCCAGGCTTCCTTTTTTTTCACCAAAATTTTTATGTTTTATTAGCTTAATCCACCTTTATTAGTTTAACTTCCAAGTTACCTTATCTACTCAGTCTACCTTAAATTTGTTATCAATCCTTCTGCTCTTTGGTTAAGACACTTATCTATATAGTTATCTCCTTTAGTAAAAAAAAAAAAAATGGACTATCTGCTCTTTAAGTTAACTTTAAAAAAAAAAAAAAAAAAAAAAAAACCTTTATCTTGTACCTTATAGGTACCATTAGTTAAGCAAACTTGCACTCTATAATCTGTAGTAATATTTTAGCAAAAGAAAAATGCCGCACTCTCCGGCTTTGACATCATTATTTTATTAGTCCAAAAAAAAAAAGTAGAAAATTCTGTACTATCTTAATTTTATTATTTCTGGTATCAATCTCTTTCAAATGTCAGTCTTATTTTTAGCCTTTGCTCAGAAGAAGTCAGCAAGTGATACCATCTCAGATAACTCAACAGTGTCACCTCTGTCATTATGGCTCAGGCTTTTGTTTTGTTTGTTCTGCACTTTTTTTCTTTTTTGTTTTTGTTTTTTTTTTGTTCAGTAGGCAGGTTTGTTATGCGTGGTCTCTCAGTGGCTATACTGGATGATTATTCTCTGTTTAGCTCTCCCAGTATAGTTTGCTGAGCTTATCGCATTTCAAACCCACCTCTGAATAATACTAGCTAGTCTCTGAGGTTAAGGATTTTTTTTCTCTCTTCCTCTTTAATTCCAGTCAGAAGTCAGTTTGTTCAGCGTTCTGGTTTGTTATGTGTGGTCTCTCAGTGACTGTACTGGATGATTATTGTGTTTGATAGTTCTCCCAGTATGGTTTGCTGAGCTTATCACATTTCAAACCCATTTCTGAATAAATCTGACTTCTTTCTTGGTTTGAGGGCTGATTTCTATCTTTTCATTTATTATTGTTTGTTTTGGGATTAAGTTTTGTTCAAAAGTCTCCCATAATGGCTCTGAAGTAGACATTTGTTAAGTCTCAATCTGCTGACTTCATTCTGAGGGGTAGAGATATTTTATTCACTGTTTTTCAAATATGTATGTAGCATGATCACATTTACTGAAACTTGTTTTAATCCATTTCATACAATCAGTTTAAGTGTCATAACCAGCTGTCATTATTTTTCAATCATCTTTTCGAAGCCTGGCTCTTTTTGAGAACTTTTTTTAACATCTCGATTTTCATAGGTTATACTTATTGAATTTCACAGCAAAGGAAATTTAACTGCTTTTACTTTATTTCTTTTCTTGGAATCCTAAAATTTCTCTAATTTATCATAGCTGTATTTACAAAAGGTAAATATTGATACGGGGGTGGGTCTTTTTTGTCCATAAATAAAGTAAATATGAGTTCTGACTTGGCCCTGATTGGTTTCATTGACTTTAGATATGTTGGGGTAACTTGACGTGACCAGCAATTCATGGGCGGTGGTCTTGTTGGATACTAAAACATTCTGTCTGAAAAGGCTAAACGTGGTTGTATGAGGGTGATATATCAGAGTCATAAATGAGGAAAGAAATGAGAAGATTTTGTGCCATGTGCACAGCAGTACATTCCCATCCATAAAACATGTTTAAAGAACACCTCCTTCCCCTTCCTGCCTCGCCCATGGGTTTTGCTGCTTCGGATTATGACCCTTTTTAACTCGTGAATTGTGCGCATGCGCAAGAGCGAGTTATAGATACGATCTGGGGAATGGCATTCGCTCGCTCGCTCGATTGGTCGATTACTGTAAACTTTTTTTAGATTTTAGGCTTTTGAGTGCATTTGATAGTTTTTGGCGAGCAATAAACAGACGAAATGGCGACCTTTGTTGCCAAGAATAGTGGTGGGGTGAAAAAGAAGCCAATGATAATCTTAAAAGAGCTTTTTTTTCGTTTTAGTTTCAACAAGCGGCGCCAGCGACTGGCAGGCATGCAAGGATTCACACTGAAATAACAGAACAACCTTCGTTTTTCATAAAATTGTAATTTACAATCCTTGAACTTGAAAACAATCCGAAGATTCATTGAAAATATCACTTACTGCGAAGTGCTCGGAGTTTACAGATGTTTAAAAGCTTTTTCTGTTAGAGCGTGAGATTGAGGACAAAATTGATCATTATGTTTCGTCGCGTGTGTTTTTCCTGTGTGAAGCAACAAAAGATGCCGGCGACTGACGAAATAACAAGTTAACACGAAAATCAAATAACACCGAAACAAACAATTTTAGCTACCGATTTTCAGTGAATTTTTAAAGAACAATTTTCTTTTAAGTTTCAAGACAATTTGAAGATTCAACATACATACAACGTACTAAAATGCGAAAGTTACACACCACAAAATTGATAAATAGGCCTGAAATGAAATTCTATCTTGTTATTGATTATACGTTGCCTAGCACGTGACTTAAATCTACCCAGGCGGAGATCCAAAGTGACGGTGGCAGGCTTGGCTTAGTTATATCACTCAAAACTCGTTCCTGTTTGTCTCATTTGATAAAGAGGGAATCGTTAATGTTTTCATTAAGACAGTATTGCCTTGATTTTCTAATATTTACAACGAAGGACAGTAAATTTCACTTTTCACCCACATTTACTTCCAACCTTTTCTTTTGAACCAGAAACGAAAATGATAGACGTTTAAAACACATGACATCATCCACCTTGTCAAATGTAATAGCATGATCATTTCAATTGTAATGCCTCTTATCCCAACGTTACTTTGTTTCTTTGCTACATTAGCGAACACTGAACTACTGCTCGTACTCTATATATGACAATCAACCACAAAATTCCCTAAACCAGATAACATTAAACATAATCTAAAAAATCATGTGTCAATTCACGAGTTTGCTCACAGAGCACTTTGATTATACACGGTGGTGGGAAAGAACGGTGCGATTTACAAGCGAGCTTAGGCAAACCACGATGACGACGTGATGGAAAAAAAAAACTGAACAATTTTCTACTAGTCCTTTTCGAAACAAGGTGAAATCAAAAAAGTGTTTTCGTTGTCTGATGACGGGAAGCCCGTTACTATCTGGAATTTTACGCCGCTTACACATGTTATCAATGAAGGTTGGGTCGGGCATCGTTACTAGAAAATTTTCCACATTTGCCCATCGGCGGAATTTGCACAAGAAAATATAATTTTATTCTTAACCCTAAGTTTTCCTTTACAATAGAGTCCCGATTGCTTGAGGCCCTTGAAAATAACCATCATAACCATCTCCCATGGAACAGCGCAACCCATACACCACATCAATATTAACCAAACTAGTGAAAGACTGCAATAAAAGTTTCAACGAAAGGAAAAAAACAAATGTACATGTAGATCCCTTGAACTTATTTGTTTAATTGTCTTCCAAAAGCAATTAACTTCCATGACCTGAGCAAAACATAGGAGATGAGCGAACATTTTTTATCGCAAAGGGTATTATTGGCAATGGGCAATATTCAAGAAAATACTGCAACCATATACCCTAAGTAAAATTATTTGTCTTTTGGGAGCTGACTCGAAGTTCAACAAAGATATCCCAATTGCGTGCAGCAATACACAGTTTTTTGTACAAGTTCACGTCTCCTCTACTCAAGAATCCAGTGGGAGAAATGAAATAAGATTCACTTAGGCGACGCTTACACAGATGTTGTTGACTTGAATCTCAACCAAAAGTTTACCCCCTCTTACTTTGAAAGAATTTTAATTCTTGAAATGTTAAAACATTTAAAGGGAACTTTGGTAGATTGCAAGATATTTGTTTAATCGTTTCAACACTGCATATCATGTTTACATAAAGTTAAGGCAAATGAAGTCAGTTCACACTCGAAGAAACGTTTATCGCTAATAGAATTACGTACTAACTTACTAACTTATTTACTAACTTGCTTGCTTGTTTACTTACTTACTTAAATACTTACTTACTGAAATACTTAATAACTTACTAACTTACGTACTTACTTACGTACTTATTTACTTACATACTTATTTACTTACTTATTTACTTACTTACTTACTTAATTAATTAATTACTTATTTACTTACTTACTTATTTACTTACTTACTAACTTACATACTTTCTTGCTTACTTACTCAGTAATTTTAACTACTAAATAGTGCAATTTTCAGATGAGTGTCGAAAGTAATCTGGGATTGTATTGGTTTTGCTTTACTCCACACTGTGATTGGTCAAAAAAACACCTCATGCCAGTCTCTACACCAACCATAAATGCAACAGTAAAACCAATCACGACTTGGTCGCCCACGTTTTCCCGCATTTGGAGCAGTCTGCTTGTATTACTTTGAATTCTTATTGGGTCTTTAAGGTATTTTCCTTTCTTTTGATCGGCCGTTATGATTACTTTCTATGTGGCTTTGCTACACTCAAACGAAAAGCGCTCTGACTCACTCACTTTACTTATGGTCAGATTTTTTTTACACACTCAAGTGAGGACTAGCGTCTGATGCAACCCTTTATTATCTGTTCTCAGTTACAATTTAGCTTTTCTTGCTATAAAGGTCAAGTGAATGAAGTACATTTGTGACCTGTGAAACTGGGTAAATACTACACCTAAGATCCTTTAATTTCGATTCATTGATTATTCTGACTGTAGTTTCAGCTGCTCCTTTTTCCCGAGAACACAACTTCAGATTACTGATTTTGAGGAGTGGAGAACTCTCGCCCTCTCGCTCAGGAGCGTATACAGGTAAGTTCTTTTAGTCTCATTAAAAGTCATTGTTCTGGAAAACCTTTATACTTTTTTGTTCTCCGTTCTCAGTGTTGAAGTCTTAATTCACTTATATCCTCCTAACTTTCTTCCGATGGAACTTCAGAACTAATTGTCCGACTACTTCTCGTTAAATGTCTTCTTTATCGGATCATTTCTTGGAAATACAAATTTTTACACGAAAAAACAAATCGCAGCTTCCTTTGCACTAAATGGCGAATGCAACTGAAATCACTTATTTCTCAATAACTATAAATATGCACCTAGGTCAATTTTATCTTTGAACAATATACTCAAGACCCTAAATAACCCTACACCAAAAACCCCAAATGAATTTAAAAATGCTTCTACAGTATACATACGTAATTACTTGCTCACTTGCTTACTTACATCCGACTTCATATCTACGCAGCTAGCTGAAATACACATTAATGATTACGAACTCACTTTCACCGGAACC